CCAAGCAGGCCGGCTCCACTGGGGGTCTCCTCCTCCCCAGGAGCCGGGGCAGCAGGCAGGCTCGGAGGCAAAAGCGCTCCTAAGGAGTCCAGAGGTCTGAGTCGTCAACTGGCTCTATAATCACATGTTGGCTGTGTGACCCTGGGTGAGTCACTGAAACTCCGTGGGCTGTTTCTCTTTTTAAAAAAAAATATTTATTTATTTTTAGAGAGAGAGGAAGGGAGGGAGAAAGAGAAGGAGGGAAACATCAGTGTGTGGTTGCCTCCCACACGCCCCCTACTGGGGATCTGGCCTGCAACCCAGACATGTGTCCTGACTGGGAATGGAACCGGCATCCTTTTTTTGGTTCGCAGGCCAGTGCTCAATCCACTGAGCCACACCAGCCAGGGCGGGGCTCTGTTTCTCGGTTGTAAAACAAGATAATTCTGTGCTTCTGGGCTGCTGTTGGTGCCCCCAAAACAGAGCAAGCACTGAACCAAAGTGAAGGAAAACCACCCTTGCAGGGGTTATTCTAGGACTGAGCGTCAGGTGCCTGGAAGGCCCCATTCAATGCACATCCATTTATTTAAGCTCAGAGGCCCCTGGAATTCCCATCTCAGGAACTGAGAGGTGAAAAACATCACCGCCCCAGCATCCTTGGTCTCTTTGTAAGCAGTGAGAGTAAACAGGTGTCATCTCATGAGACTCTAACTGACCCCGAATGGTTGTGCTGGGACACTGAGGCCGTGCCTAGACTCACAGGGGAAGACAGTATATGACTGATTAATAACGTCTGCCACAGACATTAATAACGTCAGGCTATGAATTATGTATTGTAATTCAGAAAGAAAGAGAAAAGCAAAACGCTTTTAGAAGGAACTCCAAAAACACGGGAACGGAACGCATAGCACTCACTCGGCGAACCAGCACTGAAACAACTCCCAGTCTCAGAATGTGGTAGGCTCCGTGGGAGTCAGGGAAGACTACTTTCTAGATAAGGTGACTGCTAAGCGGACTCCTTAGGATGAGGGGAACCCAGCCAGGAAAAAGGAAGGCAGTGGGCTGGACAGACGTGGTGTGCCAGCCAGAGAGACTGACCCAAGGCTCCAGACGCAAGCGACAGCCTGGGACCTTTTTCGGGGCTTCACAAAGGCAGCAACACAGACTTTAAGGCGGGGTAATAGGGAGCCACAGAGGCTCCTAGGCAGGGAGTGATGAGACAAAATGACATCTAAGTCTCTCCTTCCCTCTCCCTCTGCCCTCCAATTGTAGATGCTCCAGAACAGCTGGAAAACTGACCTAAAAGAGGAGAGAGCAGGCCTCACAGAAGTCAGCTGCAAGCTGATCAGTCAGACCTGAGATCCAATTACAGGGTCAAGGTGGAGAGAGAAGATGAACAAAGAGCTGGCCTCTAAGTGGACACAGTGAAACCTGCACGACTCGAGCAACTCAGGCCGGACATATGGAGGAAGGGCAAGCCCAAGATGTGGGCACTCTAAGTCACATCTGAGCCCAACCAACTTGATCGCAAACCACCCCCAACGGAGCTTTAAGAAATGTGGTTGCTCTAGCGACTTCGCTTCTAGAAATGAGAAATAACAAAAGAAGTATGCAGAGAAATAAACATAAGGATGTTCACTGTAGTGTTGTTTACCAGACGGAAAAGGAGGGAGAGAGGAGCGGTGTGAATGTGCACCAGCAGGGGACTAGGTACATGGGTCATGGCCACCTTCAAACAGTGGGATTCGAAGCAGCCCTGGAGAGAGAGGATGACACGAGTAGATGGTGGAGCTGTATTGTTAGGTAGAAAAAGCAGCGTATACACTCTCCCTTGAAGATCGAGAAAAAAGCATCTGGAAAGAAAACGCTCTAAAACACCAGCAGAGATTTTCTCTCTAAAAAGCCCCATCTCACCCGGGCCAGTGTGGCTCTGTTGGACGGGTGCCATCCTGCAAAGCAAAAAGTTGCTGGTTTGACTCCCGGTCGGGGACATGGCCTGGGTTGCAGATTCGGACCCCGGTTCGCATGCATGTAAAAGGAGTTCGATCGATGTTTTTCTCTCTCTTCTCCCTCCCTTCCCCTCTCTCTAAAAGTTAGAAAATATAAAATAAAATCTTTCACGAAAAAAAACAAAGCCCTACCTAAAAGGGCTGAGAGGATTAAGTGAACTGATGTACTTAGAACACTCAGTACATAGTAGGTGCTCGATAAATGACAGGGAGAGTTCTATTTGTCACTTCTTGTCCATTTTCCTCTGAGAAACAGATCTGTGATAGAAAATTAGATATTCTCTTAAAACGCAGCTTTTCGGCCCATTGCCCTATTTATACTGGTTCTCATCCAGGGGTCATTTTGTCCCCTTACAGATACTTTTGGTTGTCCCACCTTGGGAAGAAGAGGTACCACTGGCATCTAGTAGATAGAGGCCAGAGATGCTGCTAAACATCTTACAAAGCACAGGCCGGCCCCACCACAAAGAATGATCCAGCCCCAAAGGCCAGCAGTGCCACAGTACAGAAAACGGTGACTGGGAGGGAACTGTGGCTTCGATGCCTCAGACGCCTCACACCCAGTTTCCCAGAGCTCCTCCATTCAAGACACACCCACCACCCAGATCACCCAGGTGACCAGACACTCCTGAGATCTTTCTAGACAAAGCCCCTGTGTTGGAGCTGACGGCGGATCTCTCTTGACCCCCCAAGTCCCAGAGATGCTCCCATCCTCTTAAAACTTAAACCCTCAGGAGAAAGTCTCCCCCCAGAAGAGCATAATGGTTCGAAATAGATTGTCATTTTTTTTTTTAGAGCGCTAAGAATTACCCTCTGCGGGCCAACCCACTGAGGCTTCTGTGTAAATGGTGCTTCTATCAACAGATGTGACAGCCCACAGCACGTGACTCGCAGCAAAGACAAGGGTCCTTTGAGATCAGGGAAAGGGGGAGGGGATGCTCTTCAGCCCTGGCCCCAGATCACTGCTGGCTCCAGCTGCCACCATCCCCTTCCCTCTAAAACCAGTCAGATAATTGCATCAAATGAAGGCACACTCCCCACCCCTGCCACCATGCTTAAGTGATGGGTAACCTTACAGAAGATAAGGGAGGAAAAGGCCACTGAGTTTAACTCAAGGCCTACCTGCCTTGGCACTGCTGACATTTGGGGCTGTGTGGATTTTCTGTGGTGGGACTGCCCAGGGCATTGCAGGATGTTTTGCACCATCCCTGGACTCCACGCACTAAATGCCAGTAGCACCCCATTGCTTCCTTACCCAGTGTCCTCTGTTGAGAACCACTAGCTTAAACCGATTCCAGATCCTTGTCCAGGGTAAGCTGGCTGTCCTGCAGATGTTCATGGAGCCAAAGAGGGGGAAAGTGACACAGAAATTAACAACTCTTTAAGGTCATAGCCAGTCAGCTCCCAAACCCCTGCCTGCAACACTGTGATGCCGGCAGTGAGAATGGTGCAGTGAGAATGGTTCGTACATTTAACAAGTACCAACTGAGCACCTACTACATGCCAGGCACTGTTCTGGCACTGGGGACGCAGCAGTGGACAAAAATGCACGAGATCCTGTTCTTAGGTTGCCTCCGCAGGTCTGAGAATCATATGAACCAGGCAACTGCATCATTCAAACATTGATTAATCGTCTACTATATGAAGGAATTAGAGCTGGATCCAGGAACTTAAATAACACCAGCCCCAGCTAAGAGCTACTTGGCACTAAGGCCACACACCTTTAGACACAGCATTTCATTGACTCCTCACAACTGGCCCTGGAGATCAGCATCCCCATTTCACAGATGGGGACACTGAGGCCCAAGAGGTGGAGGATAGGACTCCAGGTAACCAAAACCACAATCAGCCCTGATCATCCACTAGGGATAAAGGGACTGACTGCCCTAAGGGCCAAATCCCTTCAGCCCAAGTCAGTGTTAAGATTCTGTCCATTTGTGGGTTTCAGCTAGACTGCCCTGGGGACTGGTGTCATCCTGCAAGGCCACCAAATGAACCCACAGGGCAGGACACAGGGCAAGCCCGTATGGAATAGAAGAAAGCAGAAGCTCAGGTTGCATCCTGTACCCAGGATCCAAAAGGCAAAGGGCAGAGGCAGATGGTACTGTCTTCTATTTCCCATTTTCCATCCAGAGCCTGGGCTGGGCTGAGGGAAGGCAGGAAGGAGGGTCTGAAACTGGTGCAGGGACTGCCTTCCCGCGCCCCTTAGACCTTCCTGGAAATGACATATAGGGGAGGGGCCTTCATTTACAGCCCAAGCCAAGTACCCTGTGTCTGACATCACCCGCTCCAAGCAGCCCCCACCCCCAGTACTGACCTCTGTTCTACATGGAGGAAAAACTTTAGGGGGTTCCCTCTAAAAAGAGGCCCTAGAGTTTTGTGACTCATTTCCCAAACTCCCTTCTCACGCTGCAAGGCTTCATGCCCTTGGAGTGTGTGTATATGCGTGTATATGTGTGTGTGTGTGGGGGGGTCTTTGGCGTGGAATGGGGGGCATTCTGAGGGAAGAAGAGCTCATAGGTCCTGTGCGGTGTGCGGGAGAGGCTGGAAGATTTTAAGGAAATGAAAGCGTTACCACGAATGGAGGATTCATTTTAAAGGGAGGGAGTTGAGAGCCATCCTAAAAGGAAGGGAACGATGAGGTGAGGAATAAAGGGACTTGGGGGAGAAGCGGTGGGGTGTGATGCCGGGGGCTGGAGGTCTGGAGACCTGGCAGCCCCTGGGAGTCACCTGATGGATATGGTGGAATGTGAGGTGTCTGGAGAGACGGAGGGTTGAGATGTCTGGGGAGAGATGGAGGATGTGACCAGTATAGGAGGGAGGATTTTTGAGCAATAAGAAGAATTTGGGGTGCTTGGAGGAAAAGAAGGGATCTGGGGTGCCGGGGATATAGGATTTGAGAAGTTCAGGGCAGGGATGATTCGGGGATGCTCCGGAGCAGGAAGGTGCGGGCGCCTTCAGAAGCGTTCTGGGGCAGGGCTGCGGCCGGCTCCCCCCTTCACCCCGGCTCACCGAAGAAGGGCGGCAGGTGGGACACCGCCTCGAGGAAGGGCCCGGTCTCGATCTGCTTGTCCGCGGGCAGCGGCTTCAGCAGGTGCTCGGCCAGCAGCGCCATTTCGGGGTCGAGGCCCGCGGTGATACCCCAACCGGCGCCGCGGGCGTCCACGCCGCCCCCTCGGCCGCCGCCGTCAGCGCCGGGGCGGTCACTGGCGGGGCCGTCACTGCTGCCGGCCGCAGACTCCCGGGACGCCAGCGTCGCCACTTCCGCTCGCGCCGCGCCCGCGTAGCCGAGCGCTCAGCGCCGCCCGCCGGCGGAGCATCTAAGGGGCCCGCCGCGCCGCCCGCCCCTGCCCAGCCGTGCCCAATCCTCGCCAGCCGTAGTGCCCTTCTGCCCAATCCGTGCCCGTCGTCGCGGATCTCCGCACCCCCATTGGTCGGGGGGCGGGACTGATCGGTCCCGACGCGGAAGCGCGCGAACTCGGGATTGATTCCGAATGCGCCCAGGTAAGCCGCTCCTAGGTGCGTTTCCTGCCGCCTCCGCCGAGGTCTCCCTATCTCGGGCTGTCAAGCCTGGACCCAGTCCTTCCCTGATGGGGGCGTGCAGCTGCCCAGGTCATAACTCACAACCCACACACCAGCCCAGGGCACAGCCCAACCCAGCCAGCGCCCCTCTGGACACCTGTTTTCCCCAACAGCCCCAGGTGACCTGCAGACAATTATCAGGTCACAATTCTTTTTAGCAACAACCAGCGGGGAACCTTGATTCTTCTCCGTCCCACTGCTCACCCATTCCTCAAGGCACAGGCCAACTCAGCCATGCCTAACTGGGCCTCGTGTTTCCTGAAATCTGGGGTCCAGTCTGGTCCCAACAGCCCAGTTTACAGCCCAACTCTACCACCCCCGACAGCGCTCCTGCTTCCACAAACCTGACCTCACCCAAACCTCCCAGGATACTTGAAGCACAATTCACCTCAGCCACGTCCCACCTAGATGCTTGTGTCTTAAAACCCAACGCCCACCTTCTCCAAAAATCTAGCCCACGGTTGTTGAGGGCTTCTCATCCATTCCAGAACGAAGACTCGTTGTGACTGGGCTTTGGGCCATGCCCTGGGCTGGGTGGGCATTGGCCTTAAAGTGATGATAACGCAACAGAATCCCTGCGCTCATGAAGCTGACATTCTAGTTGGGGAGACGATACAATACACCAATAAATAAAGACAATTTCAGATATTGATGAGTATAAAGGAAAATAAAACTGGAAGTGACAGAGGATGACTGAGGGCATGGCTGAGCTAGCATGTAGGGGCTTAGGAGCAGTAAATCCCTTTGAAGAGGTGACTGCATTTAAGCTGAGACCCAAAGAAGTGGGAGACAGCCAGTGGCTGGAGCCTTTGCAAAAGCCCTAAGGTTCCAAAGAGCTGGCCATGTGCAAGCAACCAGGGAGACAAGGGGAGGGAGTGATGTGGTGGGAGCCCAACTCAGAGCATTGAGCAGGGGCTGCAGTATGTTGGATTAGGCAGAAGGTGGTGTAGAGCTTGGATTTTACCCTAAGGGGCCCATGAGAAATCACTAGTGCCCGAAAAATAATGGCTGAGCCATATTAGATATTTCCAATGTAATCTTTCAGGGTGCAGGTGAGAGGAGAGGGTGTTCCAAACCAAGGGCATGACCCAAGTAGAGCCAGGGGGTGAGAGCGTCTGGGGCAACAAAGCTCTCAACTCTTCTCGCTTGTAACCCAGACCCTGGCAGGTCCCACCAAGCAGATCTCCCACTGATAGGCACCCGAGTCATCAGCTTCGGCTTGTTCCCACCACACCCAGCCTCACCACCTCAGGCACCCTAAGATAACATCTCCTTGAAGTATCACCAGCCAACCTGGCATCCTGACTAGTGTGCCAGAGCCCCACCCCCTCTCAGACGCCTCCATCAATTTCACAGAGATCACAACCCACGGCACGACCTCCAGCGTCAGACACCCTAATTTCTCAACTTTGCATGGCTGATACCAGAAATTCAAGTCTGGAAGAATTTTCTTGCCCTGGAACATAGTTTGATAGGCTGAAATAGTTCATGGCTCTGGTCTTGCTTTCTCATAGTTTATAATAGGGATGGACCTGGTACCCGGGGTCAAGCTGGCAGCATCAATGGTCACTGTGAGCCAAGTGTTGTACAGAAGGAGGGGTGGACTGTGCAGGACCGGGGATCCCACGGCCCATCTGCAGGGCGCTGGGGCTCTTCACCAGGCCAATCAGTGCCCAGAGCTGTGAGCCCTTCAGATTTCTCAAGAGATGCAAGAAACCTAGATTTGAGGGTAAAATCTCTTGATTTCTAGATGTTGGCAACTAATTCAATTTTTAAAAAAAGGTGAGCCACACAAAACATTGATTTCCTTTTGACACATCAAATTCACAGAGAAACAGTGAGGACAATTCAAATAACTTTTTGTTTCTGAACCATTTGAGCACACATTGCTGACATGATGCCCTCCTACTCTTAGGTGTATTTCCTCCAAACAAGGGTGGTCCCACAGAATTGCAGTGCATCCCTCAACAGAGGAAATTAACACTGACGCATTTTCACCCTCTAATGCTCAGACCTCACCAAGTTTCACCATCTGTCCAAATGATGTCCTTTGCAGCAAAAGGGTTCACTTCAAGATCTCATGTTGTGCCCTGGCTGGTGTAGCTCAGTGGGGTGAGTATGGGCCTGTGAAGCAAAGGGTCGCCGATTTGATTCCCAGTCAGGGCACATGCCTGGGTTGCAGGCCAGGTCCCCAGTAGGGGACACAGGAGAGGCAACACATTGATATTTCTCTCCCACTCTTTCTCCTTCACATCCCCTCTCTCTAAAAATAAACAAATAAAATATTTTTTAAAAAAAGATCTCATGTTGCATGTCTTGTCCCTTGAGTCCCCTTCAGTCTGGAACATTCCTTGGTCTTCGACTCTCATGACCTGGACACTTTTGAAAGGGCAGTTACTTTGGAGACTGTCCCTCATCTTAGATTTGCCTGCTGTTTCCTCTGGGTTGGATCATGCATTTAGGTCGTGCCTCTTAGATTAGATGAAGACTGTGGATTCCGTGCGTCATGAACTATCTCAGAAGTGATGTTCTGTCCTCACTGCATTATAACAGACCATACCTGACTTCAGTTTGTCCCTTTATTAATGATGTTAACTTTGACCACTAGGATAAGGTGCTGTCTTCCAGGTTTCTCCGCAGTGAATCTGTCTTCCTCTTTGAAACTTAAGAAATATTTCATAAGGCGTTACTTTGAGATTAGGTAATATTCTACCTCTCTTTACAGTTTTCATCTATTTATTGCCATCAGCACAGACTCTCGATTCCATGGATTTCAATCCATTATTGTTACTATTGGGGGGAGCAAATTATCCTAGATTTGGCCCCTGCAAGTCAGCTTCTGGGTCCTTTTAAAGCACTTCCTTACTTTCTGGCAAAAGATATCCCAGGCTCATTTTGTGCGTTCCCTGCCCTAGTCCTGAAATCAGCCATTTCTCCGAAGGGCCCAGGTTCCTTTTAGTGGACAATGTGATTTAGAGCCAAGATCCACCTGTGCTTCTTTTCATTGGGTGTCACGGCTCCCAGATGCTCTCTGGGTGAGTGTGGACGGAGTTACACACACACGTGCACACACGCAGGTGCACATCTATATCTCTGTGTAGTGTGTTTCTCGGGTCGTTCATCTACACAGAAAACCACGAGTTCGCCCCAACAGATCCCATTTCAATCCACGTCACAGGGCCGATTCCAGTTTTTTCCCTTTCCACCGTAACCACTCCCTTCTCGGACAGCAAGACACCTGGCATTCTCCTTCGTTTTATTATTTGACTGATGCCCAATATGTAATGAGTTTTTATTGATGCTGCTTTCTCCCCAACAAGGATGCCCTTTGCACCCCATTCAGGCTCTGACCCCCTGCACCAGGCTGCCTTTCATGAGGACGCCCTCCTCATTCACAGGGGCTCTGGCCACTCCACCTCGGCCACCCTCACCACCCTCTTCTTATCCTGTTGGGCTACGACACCCTTCTGTGGCTCGGCATGTACCCCTCCCCCCACTGCTGATGCTCACCCTACTGGGACCCACCTAATGGGCTTTGGGTTGAATTTTTCAATTATTCAAGAAGGGAGGGGGAAGGGAAAGGGAAGGGGAGGGGAAGAGGAAGGGGAATGGGAAGGGAAAACACAAACCTTTGGCAAGTTGGTTTTAGCAATGGGCCATGAGCTCACTTGTACCTCACTGTATGGGGCAGGCATTCACATTCAACAGATATTTATTGAGTGTCTAGTCTGGACCAGGGAGGACAAAGGATTAGAGTCATTAGACAATAAACAGTGTTGTGGGGGAGATGCCGCCAGACACAGAGAAGCCACTTTATCCGTTTGGGTTGTTGGGCCATCACACTTGCTCCATCAGCTGCAAACCCGCTCCCATTGGTGCAGGACCAGCTTGGCCGGTAGAGTTACTTCTACCAGTTGGAACTGACTCAGTGAGGATGGGGTGATCATGCTTCAAAGTTGCATCACGTTCCTGAACCAGCTCCACCCACTGTTAATAGCTTCTCCCCAAACTGAATCATTAAACCCTGGTTACTCATCCTGTCTCTCCCCAACAGTGTCTGTTGGAATGAACAAACTAGGCCAGGTTCATGGTCCTTTTAACATGTCATCCTGTTACTCAGCTGCCCCACATGCAACATAGTAATAATGTAATAACAGGTAACATTTATGGAGCACTGCCTATGTTTAGAGCCCAATGTCTCCACTTTCTAGCTGCGAGGCTGTGGACAAGTCACTTCCTGCAGGAGTTTCCTGTGGCTGCTGTAACAATGACTACTGACTTAATGGATTAAAACTACTGGCCTATTCTCCCACAGTTCTGGAAGCTGGAAGTCCAAATCCGTTTCGCTGGAACAAAATCAAATCTGCCGAGCTGACTCCCTTGAAAGACTCTAGACTCGCAGGGGTGACAAACTCACTTTCACCAGGGGCCACATCAGCCTCCCGGGTGCCTTCAAAGGGCTGACTGTAACTTTAGGACTGTATAAATGTAACTATGCCTTAACTAGGGGCAAGGAGCTCTTGCTGCTGCCCAGTAGAAACAAGGTGTCGGGCCAGATTCGGCCCTCGGGCCTTGTGTTCGCCGCCCGTGCTCTAGAGGAGGAAAATCTCTTCTTGCTTCTGGCTTCTGGTGGCCGCAGGCGTTCTTGGCTTGTGGCTGCATCCCTCCAGTCTCCGCATCTGTCTTCACACGGCCTCGTCCTCTGTGTGTGAAGTTGCCCTCTGCATCTGTCCAATCAGGACACTTGCGATGGCATCGTGGCATTCGGAGCCGCCTCCGATAATACAGGATAAACTCTCCATCTCAAGATTCTTCACTTAATCACAGCTGCCAAGACCCCTTCCCCAAGCGAGGTCACACCGAGAGGTTCCGAGGATTAGGACCTGACCTCCCTGGGGGCCGTTACTCAGCCTACCACACTTCTCCTCCCCCGAGCCTCCGTTGTCTCACCTGTAAGAAGAGGGTGGTTATGATGGTCACTTCCCTCAGGGCTGCTGTGAGGTTTCAGTGGGTTCACATAAACCAGGCCGCCGGCACACTGGCGGGCAGGCAGGCAGCCCCTCAATGAATGGTGTGCGGTTACTACGCATCAATTTCTTGAGTTATTTCCACCCAGCTCTGGCAATTGTGGGGATAATTGATTCCGATGACATCATCTCTTTAACTGCCAGGTTTTCAGTGGGATTAAATGCGCCGAATGGGCTCTGCTGAGCCAGCCCCTCTGCGTGGGCAGAGCCGCCGTGCCAACCTGCCTCGCTGTTTTGCCGGCCGCCCTTCTGCTTCCTGTCCCGAATTAATGAATTAATGTGACACCTGCCGGCAGGCCCACGAGCTGCTGCCCCAGGAAAACAGAGCAGCACACCACGGCTAAATATCTGAACTTTCTTTACAGTTACTGGATGAAGACAGTACTTGGGGCATTTAAACAGCACAGAGTAGAGCTGAGAAAGAAATGCCACCTTAGCCTTGAACCCACATGGGCAGCCTCAGGGGAAACCCCACCGTGTCACTGATGATGTCATGGCCAACTACCCTTGTTACCGAATTGGAGAACAGAAAGGTCAGGAGATGGCTCTTTATTCTCTTCAGTTCCACGATCACTCCTTGAGCTTCTCTCTCAGATCAGGCTTTGCTGGGTTCTGGTGGCTCAAAGATGGTGTCCCTCAAGGAGATCACAGCCCCCCTGTAATGTATTTTATTTTTTATTTATTGATTTTAGAGAGAGAGGGAGGAAGAGAGGGAGAGAGAGAAAAAAACCACTGATTTATTGTTCCACTCATTTATGCATTCATTGGTTGCTTCTTGTATGTGCCCTGACTGGGGATCGAACCTGCAACCTTGGTGCATCCGGAAAACACTCTAACCAGCTGAGCTACCCGGCCAGGGCCGCTGAGTGTACTTAATGCCACTGAGTTGCACACTTCAAAATGGTTAACGTGGTGGATTCTATGTTATGTGTTGACCTCCCTCCTTCCCCAAAGTCACATACTGATAAAGAACTGTACTCCCGGCACGGCTGCTCTAGAGGAGTTTGTCCGTGGGCGTGCTTCCTGCTGATTGAAAATGACCTCAGCAAGGAGACCCTTAATTTTATCTTCTAAAAAGGAATCTCACCATATGCACATACCACGTTTTCTTCATCAATTCGCAATTCTGCACCGGACACTTAAAATTTTGTTAAGAGGGTAGACCTCAAATAATGTGTTTTTTACCATTAAATTTTTTTAATCTTAAAAGGCAGAAGAAATAAAAGGAAGTCCAAGCTATGGGGTGGAGGGCTAGGGGTGGGTTAATTTCGTCTCTGTCATCACCATCGAGGACCAAATTCTTCTCTCCTTTGGCCCTGGGACCAACCCAGCTGCGTGCGTCAGGTGACTTCCTCCTGTGAGGTGATGGCTGCAGAACCATGAGTCTCCCCCAGATGTGACAACACCTCAAAACCACCTCCCCACACCCCTGCCCTCGAGTGTCATGGGGCAGAACCGGGCCCAAGCCCACCGCTAGCCCACCACTGCTGGCTTAATTAGACAAATCTGGATGCAACCCTGGGCCACACCCACTCCAATGGGGCGTGGCATGAGCAGGGAAGTTGGGGGGGAGTGGCTACACATTTACTAACTGGAAGAGAGCAAATTCGCACTCTCCAGCTCCTTCCCTTAGGACGGAGGGAACTTCACTCCGCACTCGCTGAGGCGGGTGCTGTGCAGAACATCGTCAGTATCAGGGCAATTGCAACAGTTATCACTGACCCGGTCCTGAGAGTGTGCGGGGCCCTGGGTCAAGGCCCCCGGTAAAAACAAACTGGTACTGGGACCCTCACTTTAGAGATGACAAAACAGAAACTCAGAGCTACGAAATGATTTGGAGCTAGATGGAGTCTCCTTCCCCCCATCAGGCTGCCTTTGAAAACTAATATGACCCTCCCCAAAGCGTTAGTGCCATTCCATCAGAGAAATGTATTCCAGCAGGCGGAACGAGGTTGAGCTCCTTGAGGGCTCTGAACGGAAGGTTCTGGAGCAGAATTCCATTTTCCAGCGCCCTCTGCACGTAGGAGCAGCCTACCTGGTTTACAGACGAGGCGCGGATGGAGACAGAGTGGGAGGTCCCGGCCACACACCCGAAGAGGGCGGGCTGCCTGCACAGCTTTCTTTCAGGGCAGTGACCTGCAAATTGGGAGGGGTGGGTGAGTGCCATAGGCCAGGAGTGCTTAGAAGGATGCCACAGCCTCCAGCTGAACAACAACAACAAAAAGATGGCATGACAATAACTAAGAGTTAGTCCCGATGAAGGGCACGTCTCTTTCCTCCGGCGGCCTCCAAAGACGTCCATGTCCGAAGCCCGCCACCCTTGACTACGTTACCTGGCATGGCGAGAGCGATCTTGCAGCTGTGATTCAGGCTAAAAAGCTTGAAATGGGGAGGTTGTCCCGGATTTTCTGGGCGGGCACTGAATCCGTCAAAGTGCAGAAACTCCCAGCTGTGGTCCTGGAAGATGTGACGGGGGACCAGCGGTCAGAGGGGGGCGCTAGGGGGCTGGCGTTGGAGGTGGAGGGCGGGGCCAGGGGCCCAGAAACTGAACGCGGCAGACTCTACATGTCCAAAAGGCAGGGAAACTTACTCCCCCGCCCAGGGCCCCCAGAAAAGAAAGCAGCCCAGCTGACACCTCGAACTTGACCCTGTGAGACCCGAGTGGGGCTTCTGTCCTACGTCATGTTCACAGCATGTTAATAACACGGGAAACCGGGAGCAAAACACAGGGACCTCTCTGTACGACCTTTGCATTTTTTCCTGCAAAACTAAAAGCTGTTCTGAAATTAAAAGTTTATTTAAAAATACAGATGCTGGGGGGAGGAGGGTATAGGGGACTAAATGGTGATGGGGGGGAAATGCAATAAAGATTAAATTTTAAAAGTGCAGATGCCCAGAGCCCATCCCTGACCTTTTAAATCAACTCATCTGCCTCAGGGATCAGGCAACAGGATTTCAACACTCTCTCCAGATGATTCTGACATGCAGCCAGGGTCGAGAGCCACCCACACTTTAAAGAACCTCCTAAAGCATCACGCATCATGGAAATGCAGGTTTCTATGATTAACCAACCAAGGGATTGTTTTTTTTTTTTAATTACCCAAGTGATAGGGACCATCATAAAATTGAAAACCCAGAGAGAAATTGAAATGAAAATCACCCCTAATCCTGACCCCTAGTGATACCCCCTCTTCTTTGGCGAATGCCCTCTCACACTTTTTTTCTCATGGAATACCTAAATTTCTATTGTTCCCGTTGTTATTACTGTTAAATCCCAAAGCCCGAGCCCAGAGAGGCAGCCCTACAGCCCCATGCAGGGTCTGGGGGCTCGCCTGTCTCCTGCTGCATCCTTTGCTTTCAGAGCCGGTGGGAAGCTGGAGCGGCTGATGTTGAAATGCTTCTTAAGAACCAGAGCAGGTCAGTGAGCTTTGGCAATGCCACCTGCTAATTAGGGGAGAGCACTGCATTGTCACATCGCAGCTCATGGGGAGCGGCTTCTGCGTCATCTCCCCAGTCCTGTTTTCTCCTCCTGTGCCAGGACACCAAAAGACGCACATCCAAGCCCCTCACAGCTGGCCCCGCGCCCAGGGTGTGCGACACCCACCCGGACGGTTTCCCCTCGCAGCCCCCCTGTGGCCGGTAGTCATCCACCTGTCACTAAATAATGTTGCCAAGCTCTTTAAATGGCTCGCTGGGCTCACATCTGGTTGCTGCTATTAAGAGCTACACCTGCAAGTCACAAGCTCCTGGGAAAGCAGGCTGAGGAGAGATTCGTGCAAGCTCTGGAGGTGGGGTCTAAGTCCTGGCTCTCTTAGACCTTGCTGCGTGACCTCTGGAGAATTGCTTGACCTCTCAAAGTCTTGTTTCCTCATTTGCAAAGTGGGGACAGGAACCTCACAGGCCAGAGGGAGGTTTAAATGAGGTAATACATTCAACAGCACCTGGTGTGCGGCGGGTATGCCAACAACGGTGCTTCCTTTTTGCCTTTCTTTTTGCTTTACTTTTTTCCCCAGAGGAGATAAACCAATTTTACTGTCTATCATTATTGTACAAAGATCTAGAAATACCAGACGTGTAAAGAAGGAACAGATGAATAGTGAATCAGAGAGCAACAGAAAGAGCTTAAATTTGAATTATTTTCTGTGCTATTACAATAGAAACCACTTCAAAGCACATGTCTGGCTTCAGAGTGGATTTTGTTCACTGGCCAAAGTCTGCCGTGAAGTTAAGGTGTTCGGTGTTTTGTCTGCTCTGCTGGCTCTGGGGAGCGAAAATGAACATGCTCCGGGAGCCCTGGGCTGTGCTGAGCTTCGCCAACTCCAGCTGGAAAGTGTCGTCCACCCCCGCCTCCGCTGTCAGTGACAGTTGAAAGTGACACTGACCTTATCTCCAGGAACAGTCCACATTAATTTGGCGTCTGTCCAATTCACCCTTAGCTCCCAACCTCCAGACATCTTGAGGAGAGACTTTGCATTTGTATCTTCTTTTCCTTCTTAACTTCGTCTCTCAGAAATTTAGCAAAAGCTCTGACCCCTTTGGCGTGCAGCACACCACAGTCTCGGGCGTGGAAGCCGTGAGTCCACAGGAGGCTGGGCTCCGGTGCAGGCCCGAAGAGGAGCCCAAGTCAGGCGGGTCGAGGGTGGGCGGCACTGCGTACACACCGGGACCGCAGGCCAAGGCCCCTCGGAAGGAGAGGGAACAAGTTGGGGAATTTACTCATTCACTCTGAACAAAAGTTTAATGAGCGCTCACTCTGCATCAGCGCTGGGAAGACAGCGGGGAAGAAGGGAACGATGCCTGCCCTTGCGGGGCTGCCGAGGGCCCAGGCCCCAGAAGGGGAGCTGGGTTCACATCCTGACTCCACCACCTACACCTTGGGCAGGTGATGCCACCTCTCTGAGGTTCGGTTTAGGCAACTCTAAAACGGGGTCAGTAAAATAGCTCCCAGGGTCCCCGAAGGAACAGAGGAAAAGATACTTGTAAAGACGGTTGATGAGTTACAGGCAGGTGTGTAATCATGAGGTTAGAAGGTGAACAGTGAGGGGCTGGAGAGATGGCCACCCAAAGAAGAGGCCCAGAGGCCATAGCCTTCAGCCTTGGGCTTCTAGGACAAAGCCAGTCAAGCTTTAGGCCCTTAACTAGTGAAGCATGTGTGGTTCTTTAAAGCCATTACGCAGATTAGGAAACTGAGGTCCAGACAGCGGAAGGGGCCCATGCAAGAGGCACAAAATCAGGACTGGAAGCCAGGTCTCCCGTGACCCATCTCGCATAATTCGGAACTTCCCGCCACACTCGGGGAGTCCCACCAGCAATCATTTAAGTACTGGGCTCTTCCATTAAGTGGACAGCACTGGCTGGGCCCATCACCGTGGGTGGTGGCTGCCTCCCCTGCCCCACTGGGTACACTATGTGGAAAACTGGCAATGAGCTTGGCAAAAAGGGTAGGGACTATGAAGATGGTAACCCTGGAGAGTCCCATGCACCGGGCAGGGCAGACCCTGAGTAAACATGTGTCAGGTGAAGGGAGGCGTGAAAGAAAGCACGCTTACCTGAGATGTACCAGGTGCTCTGTGGCTGCATGCTCTCCATGTAAACCTTCATTTCTCTCATCAGGGCAACCCTAGAAAGGAGCACTGTTGGTATGCTTGTTAAAAGGTAAACTGAGGCACATTAAATTTTTTTTTCCCCAAGAGTTTATTTGAACGTACATCAGTTTGAACTGGGCGGCAATAAAGCAAAGGTGGGGAAAGGCTTTTGTAGAGAACGCCTAATAGTGAAGCAAGGAAGTTATTTGATTGGCTACAGATTAAGCAGTTGCCTTATTTGGGCAAGGCAAGTTGGCTGTTTGTGATTGGTTGCTCTTCAGGTGAATTTTCTCGGACTCTAGAGCACTGATTCTGGCCTACGTGTTTATTGGTTTGCTTGCATAGGCTGCAGGGGCATTGGAGCCGCCCCTATCCAAGGGCCTCCTTTCAGTTATTTTAACATTCTCATTTCATGGATGAGCATGCTGGGAGATGGAGTGACCTCCCCCAGGACCCCACACCTAGCGTGGTGGAGGTTGGAACGCAGGCCACGGTGTTCCGCAGGACACTATACCGCCTCCAGGAACAACGGGGAAATGAATGAAGGGACGGAGGAATAAAGGGAAGCAAAAACCGAAGACAATGGGAAAATGAAAGAAAAGAGTGAATTTGTGGGTAGTTGTAAATATCTTGTTAATGGGATGATTGATACCTGAAATAAGACATATAACACATGTGCGTCATAGTATACTAATAGAACGCACACCCTTGAACCAATCTAAGGCAGTCAAAGGTTACCAGTAAAATTTATACCTACTTCTGCCAGTGGTTCCCGAAGCTGGTTGCACACTGAAGGCACCCGGCAATCACCTTAGGCAAGCACTGATCCTCTCAGAGGACCTGGATTTGCCTGGAGTTTGGTCTGGGCATCTGGATTTTTATTTACTTATCTTTTTAAGGCATCTGGATTTTTAGAACCTCCCCAGGTGATTTTCGTGTGCAGTCAGGTTTGAGAACCACTGCCTTATATTCTTCTCTCCTATTGATCCTGTTGATTTCCTCCATCCTTACCCTTATCTCCCCAGGCAACCGCCATCCTGAATTTTATGTATCCAGTAGATTCACTCTCTCCATCCTTCCAGGACTGGCGACGTTCCCGGGTGATCTCCCGCCCACCACGAGGCGGCGCCAGAGGAAAAAACACAGCCTCTTCTCTCCGCGCTTGGCCAGCACGGCGCCCCGTCGCCGGTCTGTCGCGGGGCAACAAGCTGGGTAACGGCCGTCTTTGGGATTAGCGGGTATAGTTGGGGCTTGCGGGAGCTGGGCCGGGGGACTCTTCGGAAACTCCGGGCGCAGAGCAACGTGAGTCGTAGGGTGGGCTCGGCCAGGAGCCGGCCTGGGGGTCGGGGCCCCGCAGATGCCGCCGCAGTGGCCTCGCGCCGGCCGGCACCGCGGCTGGCATCCCGGCGGGCGTCCGGGACGCGAGCGCAGGGCACCTGTGCGACCGGCATCCCGCGCTCCTCTGCTCCCACCGCGCTCTTGGGCCGATACATCCTTCTGTGACCCTTTTGTCCTATGTGTATATTGAGGTCGAGAGGGATGCGACTGGTTCCGGGAGCCGCCCAGCTTGTTGGTGGCCGATCCAGAACCGGAAGCCTAAGTTTCTTGATGCCTGGTGGGAAGATTTATCCACAGGCAGCACACAGAGCAAGGAAGAGAGAAGGTCAAACCTGCCAAGTCTCAAAACGGAGTTTATAAACAGGCAGCCGCGGGCTAGACTTGGCCCATAGATGCAGATTATTCCCCCCCAGGTTTGGAGGACTCTGAATTTGAGACTTGCCGGAGACCCAGGCCTTTTGCTTATTCAGCAGACGTTCCTTAAGCACCGTCATAGCCGAACGCTTTAGACCTGCACTTGGGGACAGCTTTTGGGTCAAGGGGAAAAGTTACCCCAGTGAGACTGCTCTCTGCTTTCAAGTCTCCATTTGGGTCCCCAGACTGCTCCGTGACCCTCCCTGTGGTCCCAGTCTCTCCATCAGTACCACGAGTGTCAGTGCCCTCAGTGATGCCTCTACCACAGCGGGTGCAGTTCACGCTGGCTTAAATCTGTGATTTGCAGCCCCCAGGGCAAATCATTTAAACAATGCTGACACCTGCAGCCTGCATTAGGACTTTCGGATGTAGTTGGTCTGGGCCAGGCTCCCCTGTCGCAACTCCCAGTGCACTGCTGCAGGGGGAGGCCAAGCGTGAGAGGGTTCCGGATTGGCAGCGAGCTCATTTTCCTACACTGCTGCTCTTAGATGGCACTCCCCACGCTGCCCTCCTACTGGTGTAGCCGGAGGCTCCTGGATCAGCAGGCAGCGCAACAGCGACACCGGGAGCAGGAGGCCCGTCTTCGGAGGCAGTGGGATGAGAACAGCCGCTACTTCAGGATGTCAAACGTCTGCAGCTCCAAACAGGCAGAATGGAGCTCCACAAGGTCCTACCAGCGGAGGTAACTGAGGGTGACCGCGATTGGATGGAGGCAGGTGGCCGCTTAGTGGTCAGCCATAAGGACCTGGGAAAATGTGGCTTGAGAGCAGGTTTTCGGGAGGGTGTTGCTGGATGGTGTGATTGCCTGCCAGGTGATGTCTTTCCAACTGGAAACTGAAAAAAAGATCATCAGTGAAGTAATGCATTTGCACTGAAAAAAAAAAAAGATAAGAAATGTATGGAGAATCTGGAAGTTTCACACACACACACACACACACACACACTCTTAGGGTTTACGTGATGGACTGTCCATAGTTTTACCTGGTCCGTGGTCATTGCTCAAATAATACTGTTATCATATTCACATATAAGCGTATTATAAATTTCCTTATAGCAAAGATAAAGGTCTGTTACGCATCGTATCCAGTGACCTGTGCTGTTAACCGTGGCTGGAGGACCCTTTCCCACGCCGTCGTGCCGTCCATGCTGCAGCCTCTGTGCCCACGTGGCAGAGTGGCTGTAACGTGACTGATCTGTGCGGGGCCCCTTCTTGCCCAGCATGCACGCCTACCAGCGGGAGAAGATGAAAGAGGAGAAGAGGAAGCAGCTGGAGGCCAGACGGGAGAGACTCCAGCAGCTTCTGCTGGAGGAGCAGGACCTGCTGGCCAGGGAACTGGAGGAGCTGAGGCTGAGCATGAACTTGCGGGAAAAGAAAATCCGGGAGCAGCACAGGAATCTCAAGTCCGCCCGGGAAGAGCAGCGGAGACTGGTACGTTCCCGTCGCCCACAGGGCCTCCCAGGCCAGTCAGTGGTGCGCGCGTGGGCCACCCCTGGGCATGTGGGTCTGATGAGCTAGCAGCTAACTCCAGAGCCGGCCGGGGAAAGTGTTTATTTTTTCAGGTTTTTAAAATTTACTGATATTTAAAGAGAGATGAAAGGGGAGAGAAGCATCAATTTGTTGTTCCACTTATTTATGCATTCATTGGTTGATTCTTGTATGTGCCCTGACCAGGGATTGAACCTTCAACCTCAGCGTATCTTGGGATGACACTCTAACCAACTGATCTGCTCTGCCAGGGCCCTAGTTGTTCTTCATTTGTGTTTTGGATGAGTTTTCTTTGTTCTCCTTGGCCCTTTAAATCATTACATCCAAGTCCTTTTTCTCTCTTCCTGTTCTGTGGTCCTACCAGCCCTGGGGTTGGTGTGTTTTATCTTCCAAAGTAGTTGCGTGGAACAGGGAGCCCCAGGCTGGGTTGTTAGGCCTGTTATACATTTTAAAGCAGATCTGTAACATCTGTGACCCATCTGTAACATCGATTTTGGCACCCTTTCGTCACAGAGTCATTTGTCAGTGCCACCTGGCTCCTCTCGGGTCTGGTCCCGGAGCCGTGGACACAAGGCTGGGAGGTTTGCCCGGCAGGCGTGGTGCCTGCGGAGGGGCGCTCAGTCTGAGCTGACCTCCGTTGCCGGATATCTGAGGTGTGCACGGATTGGAAAGGCGACATCGGGCTTCCCTCTTTGTGTTTTCCTGACAGATTGCTGAACAGCTTTTGTATGAACACTGGAAAAAGAACGACCCCAAACTGCGAGAGGTGAAAACCAAGGAGTCCCCTCTGCTGACTCACCTAAGTGGATGAAATCACGTTTCGTGGCTTTAAACTCGCATCTTGTGCTGGGTTGAGACAGGCGGGAACACTGGAGCCAGCTGAAAAGAGCCCCGTGCAGGAGATCTGGTTCATTTCGCTGTTTAGCCACTGTCTGCCGAACGTCTGCTGCGATGTCCACCTGGGGGGCTGTGCAGATTACAGAGGTGGCCCCCCACTCCAAGGGGGCTCCCGGTCCAATGGGGCAAACAGTGGGCAGCTCGTTACAGCGTGGGAAGCAGGGTGCTGGGCAGAGCTGGGAAGGTGGGCCTCGGCGCAGTGCCCCCCCCCCACTCAGCTGGAGTGCAGGCAGGTGTCCCAGAGGAGTTGCTGGGGTGGAGAAGGTTAGGACGTGGGTGTTAACTTGATGGTGTAACGGTGAGGTGAGGACATTCTGGATAGCGGCAACTGTGACACTGAGGCCTGAGTCATGAGAGCAGGGCGAGTCCAGGGAGCTACAGGTGGCAGGGGGGCTGGGAAGTCAGAGAGAGAGAGCCCCAAGAGCAGAGGCTGATGAGGCGGATGGGGCCAGACCTCGAGCAGCCTTGGGTGCTCTCCCTGGAAGCTCGGGGAGCACCTGGATGACTTTAAGCAGGGGTGCAGTGGGATCCCAGCTGCATTTTGGGGAACAGCCACTCCGGCAGCAGCGTCAAGGTGGGTGGGAAGAGGCGGTGCCAGTTGGGGGCTGCTGCAGCCTAGGTGAGTGGTGGTGAAGCTTAAACTGGGCGTGGTAGGAGAGGGGACAAATCTAGGGTCTGGAGAAGGGAGGTTGGGCGAGAGGGCGATCATCCCCTCACCGATCTCCACGCACAGTTCGTGCACATGTTCGGCGGCGGTAATTTCCGTATCTGCAGTCACGTGTAGAAACTGCCAGTCACCAAGCCGTGGGGCATCTCGGTGCTTCTGAGTACGGGCAGTTAGCACTACCTGTGGGAAGATGCTTCTCCCTGGCCGTTCGTCAGCTGAGCGGGTCCTCCAAAGGCATTACTCAGAAAAGCTTATCTCAAACGTTAAGTTGGTTGCAAAGGTCCATATTTGCAAGTTGAGAAAGAAAATTCAACTTTTTTACAACTTCCCAAATGAAAGCTTTTGGACAGAGTACTGTAGTTCACTTTTCTGATCCAAAAGATTCTCTAAACCCCCAGGCTTGTTGCATCTGCTAAAGCACGCTACACGTGTTCACAGCCGCTGCTTTGCAGAAGTGCTGAGAGCCAGTGGGGGGCTCTGCCTGACCTCACCAGCTCCTGCTCCCTGGGGCCCGGCCTGCTGTGGACCAGCCTGCTATGGACCAGCCAGGGTGGCCTTTGAGATGCTGATTCCATTTAAGCATCTGCTGACCGTTCCTGCTGAAGTCCAGGGAATTGGGGGGACAGTTTCTGTTAATTTGTTCCAACTCTTGAGGTTGGTTTAGAAGCCTGGTCCTTCAGTTTTCTGGCTGACTGGTGTTGGGGTCATCGTGTGCTCCCTTACCAGACACTGGGGCCACTCTGGGTCCACACACAAGGAAGTCACAGTCACGGTTCAGTGCATGAGCATCTGCTAGATGAACCAGTGCGGAAATTAATTTCCTGCCCCCTCTCACCCTCAGATTGAATCGGACCTGCACAAGAGGCATGTGACCGACTCCTGGGAGCTGCAGAGGGAAGAGAAAAAGCAGGTGTGGTATATCGCCCAGCAGGGCCCCCGTGCGGTAGTGGGGACCTGTCTCCACGTCTCTGACTTTGGTTCTCGTTTCCAGTGTTCGTGACTGCAGTCTCAGAACAGACTCCTACACCTGCTCACACTGAATGGTTGTTGCCCTTGCACAGACTAGGGCCCTGTATGATCACTGCCTGGTGACAGGCCGGCTCGTGGTGGGGGAGTGTGCATCTCAAAGGGTGTGTTGGTTGCTGGCAGTCTCTCTCGGTAAAATGTGCATCATAAGCTTCCAACCTCGGCTCACACACCTCCATGAACCTGTTGCTTTGCTCCTGGGTTCCTTGTAGAAGGTATTTTGGGGAGCCCTTCCTTGGTGCCAGGCTGTGTGCTTCCCCAGCTCCGAGTCAGGGGAGCAGGAGTAGGTTCCATGGCTCCCAGGGAGCACCGAGCGCAGGGCCACACAGCCGAGAGGCGGCCCGCTCGGGGGCGGACGCTTCGGAAAGAGGAGCTGGTCTTTGCTGGCTGCGAGTCCCAGATGCTGACCTCCCAGGTTCATTTGGCCCCATGTAGCAAGAAGCCTTGGAGAAGGAGGAGAACACACGGCACGAAAATGAGTATGAGAGGGCCCGCAGGGAAGCGCTGGAACGGATGAGAGCGGAGGAGGAGCAGAGGCAGCTGGAGGAGAAGCTCCGGGCCGAGGCGCTGCTCCAGCAGATGGAGGAGCTGAAGGTGAAGGAGATGGAGGTGAGGGCGCGCCATGGCCACGTACGCCCACGCCAGGTGGCCTCGTCTCGGCTGCTGGCGGTTCTGAGGAGACCACACTGGGGAGATGACTCTAAGAGTCACGGCAGTGCTGGGTTCTCCCTGCTGACCTGTGTTGCTGTCGGTGGTTTTTCCACACTTCTGGCTTGTGTCATATGCCCAGGTTCTAGGATGTTTGAGACATGGAGATAGCCCCTGTCCTCTCAGGTGTGTTTCCAGGCCTGCTGTCTCAGGGCCTTCTTGGCACTGGCAGTTTCCCACAAGCCGAGTAGACTTGACTTAGATGTCCCAGCGCAGCTGTCTCTGGCCGCGGGTTTTGGGTCTCACGGCACAAACCATGAGGGTCTTTGGTCCAGGAGGCTATTTTGAGAATACCAACAGTTCTTCCAGTTCAGTTGAGGGGAGCACCTCCTTCCCCAGATGTAAATGATTCAAGAACTCATTCTTAGTGCCCACTACTTACTGCAGGTGCTAAGGGCTGGGCTGGGTACTAGAGACACAGCCGTGAGCAAGGCCCACGGACCTGGCCCTCATGGCAAAAGCAGGTCAGGCAGAGGAGGCAGATGGTGGATCACAGGCAGGCAGGGACAGTACAGGGCCCTGGGGAAGCACAGGGCATGGGGTGAGTCCCTGACAGCAGGGCGGGGAAAGGCTCTTGCAAGAAATGGCCCTTCGGAGTTGGAGTGAGTGAGCGGGTGAGGCTGGGGCCAGGGTCTCGGGGTCTCAGTGATCGGGAGCAGGGGCGTCGGGGTCACCAGGGGGCCAGGCCAGCTCTTGTTGCAGAGGTCTGCCGACAGTGGAGCTGAGCAGCGAAGGAAGCCGATTCTCGCGATCTCAGTGGGGGTTACTGTCCTTGTAACCACAGGCCACCAAACTGAAGAAGGAACAGGAGAATCTGCTGAAGCAGCGGTGGGAGCTGGAGAGGCTGGAGGAAGAGAGGAAGCGGATGGCAGCCCTCCGGCGGAAGGCAGAGCTGGGGTGTGTGGGGCAGCGCGGCCCCTCGCTTTCTCACACTCGCATTGGTGCCCCCGAAACCAGAGGCACAGCCCGTGACAAGTCGCTGTCTAGTCTCCATGTAAGTCTTTATAAGACCCTGACGGCAGACTGTATCTCGCTTGTTTTTAGACGCTTTTTGAGATATCAGTATAACATGCAGCTCAACAGACGTGCGCAGCAGGTCCAAGAGGAGCTGGTGAGTCTGAAGAGAGAGTCTGGCGTTCCTCTCGCCCTCCTTCGAAAAGCACGGCTTCCATCCCTCCAGTACGAATGCACTGCCCTGGTAAGGAGCAGACACAAAGTGAGAGTCCCTGGACCAGCCCCCGCGGTCGCCGCCCTCCCCGGGGTGTCCGTTTCAGCAGGTGCCCTTCTAGATACATGTGGACACCTGCGCATCTAGGGAAGTGGTGGTTTTTTTTAAAAACTGTACTTGAAGTTGCAATCCTCAGCATCCTTACCTAACAGTACATCTCACGCTTTGTGGTCAGGCTGCTTAGACTGAGCTTGTTCTGTTTCACTAGCTGCTCAGTATTCCCGTCAGGTACTTAGATGGGCTCCCTCCCGAGAGGGCGAGGGTGTGAGCGAGCAAACCCGGTCCCTCCCATCCCCCCCTGTTGGCATCCGGCGTCCTGTCCTCGGGCGGCAGCGCCATGCGGCTTTTCCCGAGGACGGCTTTCCCATCCCAAGGCCTCCAGAGCCCCCTCGCTCTCCTGCAGTGTCCCACGGCAGAGGTGTGCAGAACAGCCACTTCCCTACTCACGGGTGCGTGGGCGGTTTCGGGTTTTCTGTCCTGCGGAGCGGCTGCAGTGAGCATTTGGTGTCTCTCTGCACGTGTGTCTCTGTAGTCTGTGTTTTTAGAAGGGCGACTGCTGTCAGATGGCATTCTGACAAGCTCTGCCACAGGGTGCGTGTGAGGGCAGGGGCGTGTGTGCCGTGGCAGAGGGGTCTCCTTCAGGCAGAGCTTCCAGGCCTCTGCGGTGTCGTTTTAACCCATCCCAACATCTCCCTGACCCCCCTTGGAGAGCACAGGCAGCAGTTCGGGGGTCCAGATATGGGTTGGGGCTGGCAGGTGAGGAGGCTGTGGCTGCTAGGGCTCCGCAGGGTGCCCCGGGGCTAACCCCTCCTTCCTCTAGGAGGCGGACAAGCGCATCCTGCAGGCGCTCCTGGAGAAGGAGGAGGAGAACCAGCGTGCGCACCTGGCCCGGCGGGAGCAGGCCCTGGCCGACGTGGCGTGGATGAAGCAGGTCCTCGAGGAGCAGCTGCAGCTGGAGAAGGAGCGGGAGGCAGAGCTGCAGATGCTGTTGAGGTAGGTGCAAGGCGGCAGCTGTCCGGGCCGCACACTCCCGGGTCTGCTGCGGTGCTGGGCACCCCTCCAGGGCTCCGGGAGGGTGCTCTGGTTTGAAACACCCGTCCTTGGAAAGCTGTCCACCATTCACGAGGAGCACATCTTTGTTAGGGCCTGGCTTGTGGGGATGTTTCCTTTAGGTTAAGGTAGAAACCATTAGGGTTTAGGGAAAGGATCTGTTTGTCCAAAATCTTAGATATTTGAAAGGAAACTGTTGTAAATAATGGAGATGTTGCCCGCTTCTTAGGTCTATATAAGTGGGTCTGGACCCTAAAAATTAACCTAGTAAATTGAAGCAGGTAACAGGTGACCTCCACTGAGCACTTACAGTGTCAATGATACTCCAGCCAATTGGTGGGTAGTCGGGTCACTCATTTGCACCAGGCACAGGGCGAGCTGGCAGCCGCCCCAGAAGTGGGGCCACAGAGCTCAGGCCCTTGCAGTGCGCTCCCCGCCCCACCCGCCACAGTTCCCCACAGCGTCCTGACGGTCCCACTTGACGGTCCCACATGGTGGCCTGGCTACAGGCCACCATGAGTGCTTTTAGTGGAGACGGAGTGTCGGGGCCTTCAGGACCTTACCGCAGGAGTTACCCTTTCTGCACCTGCCCTCCACCTGTTCAGAGTTTGCGCGGGCGAAAAGGCCGGCCACAGACGTGTCTGCCCGATGCCGCGGAGGCCCGATGGTCCTCTAGTTTCCTCCCGTTGCCAGTGGTGGTTGGGGGGAGCCCGCTGTCACTGTTCTGTGTCCCCCAGGGAGGAAGCCAAGGAAATGTGGGAGAAGAGAGAGGCCGAGTGGGACCGAGAGAGGAGCGCACGAGACAGACTGATGGCCGAGGTAATGCCCACTGCGACGGATGTGTGCTGGCCGGTCCCCAGGCTGGCAGCTGGGAATTCGCGACCACATACTGACCCTGCCAGGTGTTCTGGGAACAGAGTCCTCTTGTGCTATTTTAAGTGGGTTTTTCTTATCACTGTAAAAGTGTAATAGAAGCGTATTAGGAAAAAAACTCAGAGTAGAAAGTGACCCAGACCCCTGTCACCTACATGGACACTGTCACCGTTCCCGCCCGTATTTCTGTTCCTATGCAGAGCACTTTTACCTGCGTATCTCTCTCTCTACTGTCTGACTTCAAGCATTCTCACATGCTTACGTCTTCTTTGTAAATACTCCGCTGGCTGTGTAATCCTGCAGGCACACGAGAGTTTGCTCTTCCATTCCCCGGTCGTGGGTGTTTTTTCTAATCTTGAGCCATCACAGGAATACATCAGCAAACATCTTAGTGCATGAAGCTTTTCTGTACTTAGGGTTTTTTTCTTGGGGTACATCACCAGAAGTGAACTAAAGGATGTAAGTATATTGTTTGCCATATTTAAGTAATGTGTGTGAGACACACGCCAACCAAAAGGAGATCTTTTGGAAAAAAAGGTCTTCATTGTCCATGCATAGAAAATTAGTGTAAAGTCGTTTTAAATGGAAATTACATTTTGTGCATGTCGGTACACGACATTTGAATCTGTGGGAAATCGGGTTCCAGCTGGTGTGTTTTTGCTTTTGTGAACACCAGATATTCTCCAGCATCCTTGGATTCCCCCATTTAAAATGTCCCTCCTAGCTGTCACGGCTTTACGTGACCCCCCAGAGACCTAACTGTTGGGTGTGGCGGTGGCTTCTGGCCGTTTCTCGTTCCCGACTCCTGACCAGGGTCTGGGCTGGTGGTTGGCCGTAGTCCTGCTCTGGAGCCAGGTCTCAACACACAGCAGGCTTGTTCCATCCAGGAGGTTGGAGGGGTGACCCAGATGCACCCCTGGCCATCTGTGTGGCTGGTGACTTGTGTCTTTGCTCTGGAGCCCAGTGACAGGCAGTGACAGCCGTGTGGCTGCGGTGGTGATTCTGGGCCCCTGTGCAGGGGGCTCCACCCCCCTCCTGGGAGCCCCCTGGTGCTCCGCTGTGTCTCCAGAACACACAGTCTGTGGACACTGTGTGTGTGACAGGCGTGGGAGGGACCTGTGGGTGACACTGTTTGGATGGAGTCTATGGTCCGGACTTGCCTACATGCGGCGTGTTTGGGCCTCAGGCTGAGGATCAGGCCAGGGCTCCGCACAGGGCGGCCGAGGCGCACAGAACAGGTGTCTGTTGGAGGCACTGAGACCTTCCCTTTTCCCTTGTGCCGAGGCCAGGTCCTGACAGGGAGACAACAACAAATACAAGAAAAGATTGAGCAAAACCGACGGGCGCAAGAAGACTCCCTCAGACACAGGGAGCAGCTTATTCAAAACCTCGAGGAGGCCAGAGAGTCAGCTCGTCGCGAGAAAGAGGAGAGCGAAGAACTGAAATCAGCCAGGAAGCGGGAGCTGGAAGCCCAGGTGGGGCCGAGTCCGCGGGCGGCAGGGGGTGACAGCCGCAGCGGCAGGCCCTGCCGTGGCCCCCGCACCGTCGGGGCACAGGGTTCGGGGCCCTTGGCTTTTCCTCACTGCCTGGCGCCAGCTGCCTTGTCCGAGAAGCCCACATTTGCGATCTCCGGGCACCCGTTTTATTTCCGGCTGAAACCCTGCCCCTGCCCGCGGCAGCTCAGGCTCCAGTCCAGGTCTTCCCTCCCGTGGGAGCAAGGCTGTCGTCACTGCCCACCATCTCCTTCTGTCTGCATCGGGAAGCCTTTCATTCGCTGGGCACACTTGTCTGTTTATTCAATTCAGTGCCGACTAGGGAACACAGCCTTCCAAGCATGTGACTACATCCAGAGCTGTTTACAAGGCACCTATTACCACACACACGACCTCTCCAATGCCATAGATGCCCTTCCCACTTATCGGCACTTCCCGTCACTGTTCCTTTCCTCTGACACTCCAGCCAGGGCAGACCCTCGGGCTTTCCCTCCTGATCAGAGGCAGGGCTCTGCCCGCAGGCCTTGTCTCTGGCTGACTCACTCTTTGTGCCCAGGTTGCAGAGCGCCAACTGCAGGCATGGGAAGCGGACCAGCAGGAGGAGGAGGAGGAGGCAGCGGCGAGGCGGGCGGAGCAGCTCAGCAATGCCCTGCTGCAGCAGGAGGCAGAGACGATGGCCAAGCAGGGGTTCCGGCCCAAGGTAGGGAGCCTGCAGGTGACAGGCCACTGCTGCTGAGCCACGCAGGCGGGCCCTGCCCCCCCAGGACTGTTCAAAGCCCATGTCCAGCCCTGCTTCTTCCTGTTGTCGTTCTTTTGTGTTTTCCTTTGCTGTACTGGTAGGGAACCTTGACACAGGGTCTGTGCCAGCCTTGGTGGGGCCTCGAACAGCCCTTTAAGTGATTTTGCGTTCATTCCTTTCACTGCAATTGGGTTGAGGTCCTGGCTGCTGAGGGTTGAGGTGCCTGTTGACTGTCTGAGGACAAACAGCGGTGTAAGGAGAGCGCTGGCCCCAGCTGGTGAGCGGCAAAAGCGGGGTGCCAGGCCCTGACTGTCCAGCCCTCAGAGCCCCTCCCCTTCGTCTGACCCTCTCCCCCCCTTGCCCTGCCTCTTGAAACTTAAGTGACCCCCTGCTGTAAGGAACTGATAGCCCAAGGAGCTGAGAGCTGACTGAGGGCACAGCAGGCGTGGTGCCTCTGCCTCTCCTCTATGCAGCCACCCCCGTGCTCTAAAGCACTGCGAGACCAAGAGGCCGGCTCCGCTGTGGTCAGACAGCTCAGAAGCCGATGAAACCCCCATAGCCGGTGCTATGCCGGCTGCAGAGCGTCCATGTCCTGACTCGCTAGGCTCTCGATGGGTAGGGGACAGCATTTTAAACCTACTCAGCCATGGGCCAGTGAGTGTCTCAGGGTTAGGTCATTACAGAGCACAGGTAAAAATGTTACTTAGGGCTGGTGCTTTTAAAAAAGTCACCAGGTGACTCCTTTGTGGCTTAGGGTCAGAGCCTCTCCAGCAGTCAGTAAAAACAGCCATTTGCACTGTGCCTTCAGCTCTCGCTTAAAATGAATCGATCCCAGCACTCCGGAGACTGCTGATCTGATTGGTCTCATGTCTCCTTTCTTTTCTCAGCCTTATGGACACCCCAGAATCGCTTGGAACTGACCTCAGCGGCACTGTGAGCACAGGGGACCGGACGCTGAGGCCTCTGCCATGTGGCTGCCGGACAGGCGGACAGCGTCCCGATCCAGTGTGGGGTCACCGTGAGACAGTTCAGCGGGCTGCTTCGGGTCCTGGGTTGTACGGTGAAGGGTCTGGCCTCCAGGTGTCGCGGGTGCGCAGTGCCCAGCAGGAGGCCCTCTCCTTCCTGTTATGCAGGAACGGGGCTTTTGCAGTCACACGTGGACGGGGCCGGGACAGCCCTGTGATGCGTTTATCACTAACGTAAGCTTCTGAGTCCACGCCAGGCTTCCTGATCTCCCGCTGTCTCACCCTCAACTGTCAACCTCCAGCAAAGCCTCCGGCTAGCGAAATAAGGAAAGTTTTTTAATTTTTAAAATTGCCATTTAAATTGAACTATTCTGTTGACGACAAACACGCAGGTCTCTGTGTAAGTTTATTCAGGGGTCAGTAATTCAGTGGGTCCCGTAAGCATCGCATCTGCTTTTCTGAAGAAGAGGGCTCTGAACCCGAGGCAGCCCGAGGTGCCCGCAGACGCTTTCCGGGCAGGTGGCGGGACATGCCTCTCCTCCTCCGGGGAGCACTGTGGTGGGGTTCCCACAGAGCGCGGTGTGCTGTGGGTGGGGGCGGGAGGGGTGGCCCCAGCGTGTATGTTACTGAGCTCCCAAGGCGACCTCAAAGGGTCACTTGGACGGCTGACCTTGTGGTGCGACACTCGGCACCTCTGGTGTGTCAGCAAGGTCTCGGCTCCAGACAGCCTTCTGGGGCTTACGTGCCCAGAGGGAGGGGCACCAGACCTGAAGGAGCTGGAGCAGACGGAGCCACAGATCAGCCGAAATCCTCTCTCCCCTGTTACGTGACCTGGTTCTAGGCCAACGTCTTCATAAATAGCTCTGACGTCCTCGCGGCGGCAGTCACGTTTGGTCCCTGCTCTGAAGGTTTGGTTTTCATTCTGTTGTGTTCAGGGTTCCATATGGCAGTAAGTCACAGCTACTTACCATCCCAGGTTGTTAAAAACCAGAGGTCACTTCCAAGTCCCGGGTCTAGGGCTGCTGCGCCCTTCACTTCCACTGCACTGTGAAAACACGCGAGGCCGCCAGCTGCCTCCTCAGGCTGTTCTCCGCTCCTCGTCTCCGGTTTCTTTGGACGCGACCCCCCGCGCACCACGCTCATTGTGGGTGCTCGTTTTTGTTCCTGTTTTGGGGACTCACTGATGCCGCAGTGAAGTTCTGGTCTGACCACGTGGCTCCCAGGGGTTCTTGCTGTTGCTCTTCCTGACGGCCGTGAAGTGGGCCGTGCAGAAGGACAGGTTGTCACTTACTGAATCCACACCCGCTGGTCTCGCTATTCAGTGCATGGTCACTTTTTCTAGGTCGCATTCATTTTTCTTGGAGAAGTGGTGTTGTCTCCCCTCTCGTTGCCAGCGCGGCCTCGTCTCCACTGGGAATCAGCCTTCACAGGTCTGAGCTCCCGGATGTGGTGATGTGGACAGAGTGCCTGGTGAACAGGCACTTAGGTGTTTCCTGAAAGTGTGTCATTTCTTTGAATCCCTTGTTTTCGAAGCCGGCCAGTAACCGTCCCTGTCAGCATCAGAAACTGTCACACTGCTTCTCTATCGTAACATTTGTATGTTGTCTCTCTAAAAACTTAGAGCTTCCACTGTGTTACATTCCCAGTACGGCCCACACTCCTCTTATCTCGTATACACTTGGATTATGTTATGGCCGTTTGTATGCATATCAGTTTATTGTTTTTAAGCACCTTTTTCTACTTACTGTAAAGTTAATGACTAATATTCTGCAGATTCTTCTGCAAAGTTTAATTCCTTTAAAAAAGGTGGTACTGAAGCCCGTACCGATAGAAAATGATTAGCATTTTGTTCTGTGAGGACAAACGTACTCTTTCTGCTCATTCAGCACGTATTCCCCCCGGGGAGGTGCAGGGCTAGGCCTGGGGAAGGCACGGAGCTGAACAGGGACGGGGACAGGGACAGGGACAGCAGTGGAACCAGACGTGAGCGAGCAGACGGCGTCGGCAGGCACGGAGCTGGTTGTGACCCGTGGGGCTGAAGGAGCCGTTTGTACAATAAATACACTAAGTGCACCATTTCTCTTACGGGATGATGAATGTTTTTTCGTGATCCGGGTCTATAGAAGTTTCACCTAAAGCCGCGTACGGCCTCCGTTTCTAGGCAGAAACATTCCGGGCAGAGACTCCCCACGCCGAGCAGCACTGCCCTTCACGCCGCAGACTCGGTACCCACGAGCTGAGCCGAGCACCCGGTTCACCGTCACCACGTACGTCTCTGACCCCTTCTGGGTCGAGGGCACCGACGGGGCTCTCTGGGCGCTTCGGCAGAGTGACTGCGGCCTTTGCCTGTTACAGCCCAGGCCTCTCCTCACCACACAGGCCCTTCCCCGGTGACGTGAGCCAGGCTTCTGGCTCCCAGCGCCACCTCCCCAAAGGGACCTCCCGGACCTGTGACTCCAGGCCAGACTCCTGTATCTCCACCACTCTGACATCCCCACTGTGTCTCAGAGGTGCCTCAAACTCAGCACAGGGAGGCCAGCAAATGATCTCTCCTAAACTGCCATCATTAAACGAGCAGCAGCAACAGCTACCCAGCCCCCCAGCAGTACGGAATGGCCCGGCCCCCGTCCGGCCCACCGCAGGGGCTGTAAGCCCGGGGCACTGCGTCCTGCCACCGCGGCCTCGGAAATCTCCGAGTCCATCACTCGGTCCCTCTCACCGCCATCACTCTTGGCCACCCCCGATCGCTGTCCAAAGTCACACGTCCACCTCACTTTCCTCTCCGTCCTACAGACAGAGACCTACAACGTGCACCTCAAGTGGAAATTTCCGTCTTCAACGGTGTCCCCTGCACTTAGGCCCAATGCTTCCCGGGCCTCCCAGCAGCCCTCGCCGAGAACGCCAACCTGCCTTCCAGCCCAGGAAATATGGCTAACAATCAGATCAGTGCCAGATTTTCCTCCCAGCCAGCACTGGTTACAACAGCGAAAACGGACAGCCCCGATGTCCAACAGTGGGAGGCTGTTTGAGTTTGGGCTATTACACAGTGCATTAAAAAGAAATAGAATGCTTAATTTCCTTAAAAGTTCTGGAGAAATGTTCATGCTGTGTTAAATTAAAAAGCTCACCTGACCCGTGTGGTCCGGTTGGTCGGGCATCATCCTGCGAAGTGCAAGGTCGCGGTTCGATTCCCGGTCAGGGCGCGGGCCTGGGTTGCGGGCCAAGCCCCTGGTAGGGGCTTGTACAAGAGGCAGCCAATCGATGTTTCTCACATCAGTGTTTCTCTCCCTGAAAAAGTTCAAAAAATATTTTCAAAATTCCATTTTTAAGGGAATAATATCATTTTGTGAGTATTTCTAAAAGTTGGGATAATGGCTATTTTTACTTTGGGCGCTTTTCTATATTTTAAACAGAGAACATAACCTTTGAAAAGAGGGGAGGATATTATTTAAAACATAAAATGGCAAAGTCACTTCCCCCGCCCTGACAGGGAACATTAGGGGCCCATCATCCCCAAGCACTGGGTGTGGGGGTCTTCCGGTCAGGCCCCGTTCACAGACCTCCGTGTCTGAACAGGGTGGATGGGTATGACTGAAAAAAGCGTATTTCAAAAGGCCACATGTTGTATGATTCCATCTCCATAATATTCCGGAACGGACAAGTTCACGGAGATGGAGAAAGGTCATGGTTGTCAGGGGACAGGGTGTGACTGGAAAGGGCAGCCCCAAGGACATGTGACATGGTGGGTCTGTATCTTCATCATGGTGATGACAGGAACCTACATGTGCAGTCAATGACACAGAACACCCCCACACACACACGCACACACATACCAGCGCAGATGAGCTCTGTGACGTCAGGTCTGGGACTGCGCAGACATCAGTGTCGGCGACATTTTGATGACGTACTACGGCCATGGAAGACATTACTGCTGGGGAAGAGTGTGTGAGGGTGCAGGGGGCCTCTGGGGTGTGTGAGTCTATGATGACTTCAGAGGGGAACATGATAGGGTTTAAGACACAACACACTATAGGGAAGACAGCTGATCGACTGGACTGCATTAGAAAAGCCCGTCTTGAAGAGACACCTGAGACAGGGAAAAGACGTGCCGCGGAAAGGAGCAGGGCGTTTGTAGCAGATGAACACAGGACTAGAACGTTTGTCAAACTTGCGTGAATGATTTTCTAGAAACCCCAGAGAGCCTAACAGAAAAATAGCTAAACAGCCCTGGCTGGCGTAGCTCAGTGGATTGAGCGCGGGCCTGCGAACCAAAGGATTTCGGTTCAATTCCCAGTCAGGGCACATGCCTGGGTTGCAGGCCAGTTCCCAGCAGGGGATGCACATGAGGCAACCATACACTGACATTTCTCTCCCTCTCTCCTTCCCTTCCCCTCTAAAGATAAATAAAATCTTTTTTTTGTTTGTTTATTTATTTATTTTAGATTTTATTTATTTATCTTTAGAGGGGAAGGGAAGGAGAGAGGGAAAGAAATATCACTGTATGGTTGCTTCTCATGCGATCCCTGCTGGGAACTGGCCCCTGCTGGGAACTGGCCTGCAACCCAGGCATGTGCCCTGACTGGGAATCGAACCGCGATCTTTTGGTTTGCAGGCCTGTGCTCCATCCACTGAGCTACACCAGCCAGGGCTTAAATAAAATCTTTTTAAAAAAAGAAAGAAAAATGGCTAAACACTCAAACAGCCACTTCACAAAAAAGGAAAGAAATCTAAATGGCTAATACATGATACACATGGAAAAGCACACACCCATGTAATTAACCAGAAATGCAAATTTCAATGAGATACTATAATTCAGGGCATTGGCAATACTAAAATGGTCCACTGTTGATGAAGAGGCAGAGCCACGGGAAACCCCACCTTCTGCTGGTCCAGCAGTTTGGAAATAAGGTTACCGGTGTGGAGAAGCACATGCTCTATGACCCAGAAGGTCCACACTGAGCTATAGACCCCACAGAAACATGGTTCCAAAAGACAATGCTCATAGATTTTTTTCGTAAGCACTGACTAAAACTAAACACCCAACAATAAAATACTAGATAAATACACTGCAGTGTGAACAACCAAAGAATACCACGCAACAGGGGAGACATACTAACTAGAGGTACACTCGTCAGCATACTGAAATCTCACGGTGTCCAGGGAGAGAAAAGAATGCACCAGTCGGGTTCCATTCACATGTCCGGGACCAGGCACAGCCAAGCCCTCAATTAGGGCTGAGTGCACAGGCGGTGAGCTGAACACAGGGATGCAATGAGCACTCAAGTCTAGGAAGCAGGGACCCAGGGGACCTGAGTGCTGGGTACAGGGTGGCCACTACATGGATGCGTCAGGTATTTAGATGCGTCTGTGTTTAGAGTTCACCGGATGGGGCTGAGGTGTAGGGGTGACGAGTGGGGACGGGGGCCTGCACTGGTCCAGATTCCAGTCCTGCACCCCACCACTCTGGGCCCCCGTTGTTCATCGGTGGAATGCGGGCAGTGGTGACCTGCGGATGCAGAGAGACAAATACGGAAAGCACAGAGCTCACATGGACTCACCTGTCCTGCCAGGAGATGCCTCCCCGCCCCCAGGAAATAACCCGCCGGCAGTGGAAGCACTCTAGTCTCTGCCCTTGGACTTGGGCCGTATTTCCCTCCTGTTTTAATCAGAAGAAGCAGGTCAGACTCAGGCTTGCACTGCTCCTTCTCCACCGAGTCAGGCTGTCACCCTTGGCGGGGGCGGGGGAGGCCCCCTCTACTTGGGGATGGGGCAGATCCCCACCCCCTGCCAACACCACGTCCCCGAGGGGCCCTCCTGCTTCCGGCACTAGGCACAGGCCTGCTGCTTCTGGATGGCCGACTTGGGGTGAACCATTGCGCCTCGTGCATGTGATGTCCCCAAATTCCTGAAACAGCCAATCTGGGCGGCGTCCTCCACTCACAGCCGTCGCACTTGAGCAGCGGTTACCAAGTGCCTCACCCTGAAGCAGATGGAAAAGGGGTATCTGCGGCAAAGATGAGGAACTGGAAGACAAGACACAAACTGGGCCACCCAGGCTCTGGTCCTTGGAGCCTCCCCTGCCCCCACAAGACCTGCAGAGACCACACACAGAGATGGGCACGCCTGCCTCCCTGCACTGACACTCCCAGGCCAGAGAGATGTCAGGAGACGGGAGCCGCCAATCTGCGCCTGTGTCCCTCCCACCTTACTTCTGCAGAGGCCTCGGCCATGGCCGTTCCCCACCCTCTTCTGCTTCCAGAAGCTCTGCTACCCGCCCTCTTCCTCTGGGCCGCTTGCCATGACCGCCCTGTGGTCAACGTGCTTCACCACTGGGCTCTGAGGGCTACACCTCAGTTTCCTCATCTGCAAAATGGGGATGGTTTCCGTTCCTACTTGATGAAACTATACTTTTAGCTCAGTGACTGCTGACAGTGCTAGTGTTAACGAAGCCCCTTGGGTCTGAAAGGAATAGGGCAGGGTAGGGTGGAGGAGTACCAAAAGAGAGGGTCTCCTGGTAAAGGGAGGGCTGGGAGAGGGAAATAGGTGGCCAGAAGTGGTGAAGGGGAGACTGGGAGGCCAACCTTAGATCCAGGTTGGAGGTGGAGGTCTGCGTGAGACTTCAAAACTTCCCTGATGTGTTCTGGGGGCTCATGAGGAAATGACAAAGACCTGGGGGAAGACAGGGCTTATGGGGCTAAGCCGAGAGAAAAGGTGAGGGGTAATTATTTGGGGGTTCAGACAGCGGGTGGAGAGCTGGCAGAGGAGGGGGGCAGGACTGAGAGAGGCCCCTGCTACAAGAGCTGGGAGGGGAAGGTTTGGGGGGATCCTGAAAGGGAAGAGAAAGGGGAAGATGAATCCCAACAAGAGAAGGGGCTGGTGGCTGGGGTGGGCAGAGGGAGTTTGGAGGAGGAGGAGGTGTGGTCCCTTGGGGAGGAAGGGGGCTGGGCAGTTCCCCGGGTGTGTGGGCAGTTTGGGGGCTGGGGAGGCAGCGCGGTCTTCCGGTGCCTGGGGGGCCTGGTGTCAGAGAGAGAAGATGGTGGTAGGGTGGCAGGGGAAACTAGGGTTCACAACGCCTCTCCTGTCCCCGGCGGCCCCTCCCCTGGGGACCTGCTCCGTGCAAAGCGGACACATTACCCATGTAGGGGGGTGAAGGAGTCTGACACACCTGGAGGGGCTCTGGCTTCTGCAGGGTCCCAGTGCCGGGGGCTCCAGCGGGGGAGACACAGCGTCCACTCTCGCCACAAGCATCCTGTGCCCCGTGTATCCAATGAAGCCATGAATTCAGTTTCACGTCACGCACTGGCCCCTTCTGATCTAGAGACTTCAGGGCCACGTAGGCCTCACCTCCCCACAAGGCCACGTTACTGAGACTCATCAGAGACGACCTGGACTAAGATAAGAGTAACTCCCACGTCCCCTCTTCCCTCGATGTGGGACTTCGCTCCTCCAGCACGCACTTCATCTGTGCCCCAGAACGACCCCTCCTGCCCCGTGAGGCTGCGGGGAGGGTCGAAGGAGTTAATCCACATGGAGAACCCAGCACAGTGCCTGGCACACAGCAAACCATTGGTAAGTGTTAGCTGCAATTAGAATTATTATGAAAATATGTTTACAAGCAGAAAGGCACAGAGCTGCGTGGTGGGGAAGGGGGCCCTAAAATGAGTCCACGGCACTGCTTTTCTAAGAGTGCGGCTGATCAGCAGCCTCTGCGCCCCCTGGGACCCTGTTAGAGATGCAACTCCCAGGCCCCACCCTGGAGCTGCTGACTCGGATGAGCCGGAGGCTGAGCTGGAGGCTGGCTCACTGGACAAGCCCCGCCCTGGGAGGCGCTTCTGGGTCTGACCTGCTGGACCACAGGGAGGACACTCCATCTTCCTCTATACTTCCTGCTTGGAAAGGCACCTGTGATGACCAGGTCCTGCCCCACCTCCTTTTCTGTTTGGGAGTAAGAGCCCCAAGTCACCTCTCCCAGAGGACAACTATTGGGGACTGAGGGTGGCCCCGAGGAGCCCAGCTATAAATCTATCTTCCACAGTCCCCATGTGAATCTGCACAATGGGCCTTACTCTGAAAGATAAAAGGAGACCGATGGCTGTAAGAGACTAAATTAAGCCTTGGCCGGGTATTCAGCTGGTTAGAGCATCATCCCAATACGATAAGGTTCCAGGTTTGATCTCTAGTCAAGGCACATACAAGAGTCAACGATTTAATGCATAACTTAGAGAAACAAATCGATGTTTCCCTCTCCCATCCTCTGTCTCTCCAAAGATCAATACATAAAAATTTAAGAAAAAAGAGAGAGACTAACCCCATGACCAGACAGATCACCTGGTAAGAGGTAAGGGCAACTGTGCACGGCCAGCTTTCAATGAATTTTTAAAAAATTGTAGTTAAGGTGTGAATACACAATGATTAGATACCTGCAACTGATACCCTGATTGATGCAGGACTTCCTTTAACAAAGCTATCTGCTGACCACAGAGGGTGGGAAAGGACATCACTCCTGTGAACTGAGTGCACACCCCGGGCAAAGCATATTCAGTGCTGTCTCGTTAAAGATGGGGCCGGCGGGGAGAACTTTCTCGGAACTCTGACAGCACCTGGAAGCAACACCCAGCTGATGGGAAACACTGAATCACTGCAAAGACACATGTTACAGAGCCCGTTTATTGTATAACTAGCAGGCATAAATTCTGAAACAATTTTACAACGCTTACAGGGTTGTACAATAATTACGGGAATAGAACGTATACAATAAACATGAAAAACAACGAAAGAACCAAGGATGACACAGATAAAACACATCTGAATAAAAGGCATTTCATTTTTCCTATGCAGCATTTCCTTCTGTAAAAACGAGGGTGACCTTCAGCTGGGACAAGGGAAGGAAGAAGTGGCAGGTGTGGAAAGTCCAGGGCTGCTGTGGACAGTCACACGCTGGCCTCACTCCCGGTTCTGTAGCTCCCCTCACTTGAGCAATCGGACGACAGCTCCCGAGTTGTGCATTTACAGTTCCAATGACATGAAATGCTGTACTTGGTCTTTGGGGCCAATTGTTCTTTGGCAAATAAGAACTACTTGCATTCCGAGGCAGCAAATGACGTCAGTTAAAGGAGTTTAGGGGTGGAGCTGTGTCCTCTTCAACAAGGGCCAGTTTTGTAAAGTGCACCTCTGTCCTACCAGCTTTGGGAGGGGGTGGGAATTGAGAATAAAGGGTAAGAAAACGACGTTAACAGACACTAGTGCAAGGCTACGGAACCCATGTTCCAAAAGCGGCGAACGAACCACCGTTCAGACAAGATGCGATCTGCCCAGGGGACCGGAGAACCCCAACACCGGATCACAGACGAGGCCCAGGCAAGGTGCATGGGGGGCGCCCAGGCAGCGGGAAGCCTCAGGCCACTGATCCCCACGAGTGGCTCCGCCCAGGAACTCCTTCCCAGAGTGGTGGCTCTGTGGGTGGACAGCGAATTCCGTGCCGTTCCTGCGCTGTTGGTCCCCACGGTCCTTGACTTTCTCTGGGGCACGGGTCCTTGAGTTCAGGCGAAGACCCCGCTTCCCCCACTGTGGGTGACTCATTCTGCAGCGGTCTGTCCTCCCCAGGAGGCCACGGGTACCAATTCCAGATGGCTGCCCAGGCCTTTGCTGAGGGCCCCACGTGTGTGGCACACAAGAGGGCGGGTGTTTGCAGGAAAGACGAGGGTCAGCCAAGTGTGCACAGCACACAGAAGAGGTTTTCAGATGGAGCTTAAACTTAAGCTAGAAGACATCCTCGGGGAAGGCATCCCCTCGGCCTCCGACAGGAGCATGGCACTTAGGGCTGTGCAGACAGGCCGAGCGGACGAGTCCCCTGGAGATGTGGACCCTTTCCCAAAGCTCCCCAGTGCAGCAAAGCCCGGAAGAAGCACCCGCGCACAGTGTGTTAGCAAGCCAAACGCCAGCACGGCGCTCCTTTCGTGACAGTTTACGGTCAAGCTATAAAGGGATTGAATCAAACAGTTCTGTGAAAGGACAGGATTTGTAGCATGTATTTAGGCAACTTTGATCATTTTGACTTCCTCATGTGTGTGACTGAGCACTATGGGACAGAACACTTGGGTAAAAGGAGGACTGAAAGCAACTCGACACAGGACAGCGGGGCCACATCACAGGTAAGGCTCAGGCATTGAACCAGGTGTGGCCAGGGAAGCCAGGACCTCACACTGCAGGCTATGGGACGCCAGGGCAGAGGCTGTGAGCCCGGCGACCAGAGCTCACCCATGGGTGCTGGGGAGATGTTTAGCTCAGTCGCCAACACTTAGAAACAGAGAGATGGCAAAAAAAAAAAAAAAATCTAGGTTTCTAGAGTCTCTTGAGAAAGAAAACTCTTGTAACCCCAGGCCCACTCTTGCACATGGCAGCCTGAGGGAGCTGCTGCCCCCGCCCCGGCTCCTGGCCAGGCCTGCTCCATTCACCTTCCTCACCACTGCCTGGCCTCTGGTCTCGGTCAGGGTCTGGGCCGCCCCCACACAAAACAGCTGTAACAAGCAGGTACTGGAAATATGTGTTAGCATTCCGAACAAGAGCGAGCTCTTTATGAACTCAAAACAATCTAAGCATGTTCTAGAACTTCAACCTGTATTCTTTCATAGCCTTGGGGTGGCTGGTAGTCAACCAGAACATATTCTCTAAGGACATCTTGATAGTTGATGTCCAATTTTTAAGTACCAGCAACATCATGAAAAAGAAAGAAACTCAGATGATTGTATACATCTTACCTTACAAGAAGTCCTTAAAGGTGACAAGCTGTGCGAATCAGGTCACATGAGAAAGCTTTATGTGCTTAAGGGAGTGACAGAGTTTTAGGTGAGAGGAACAATACGAGGCCAGGGAGCAGACCACCCCTCTTCCCGAGGTTCAGGGCAGTGAGGGAGGAACGCAGTGGCCTGGAGCGGACCACAGCCCGCAGGGCTGATGGTGCAAGTCTGGCTTCCCTCGGTAAGGCCGGGCAAGCAGCCCATGTGGGGGGGCATGGCGGTGCTCCTCCTGGACATGGCCAAATGACACATGACATGGAGGATGAGTGCTTATCTGACGCCACGGAGACTCAGGGATAGTAAAATAGAAACGGACTGAAGATCAAGATAGAAAAATTAAGGAACATCTGATAGAACAGGTAAAAGAAATGGGGCAATTCACTATTTCCTTCCAAGAGAGATGGTTACACTATTTTTAGAAAGTGGCATAGTCCTGTCTCTATGTCCGTGCTTGGAGATACTCCAAACTTAAGAGTCTTGTGACAGGTGGGAAAATTCACTTATTGCACAATGCTTGGTAGGGAACAGATAATGTTTTTTTTTTTTAACCCAACTCTCTCAAGAAAATGTTTTACTAAAACATACCATTTACAGTTTTGACCACAGGCAGGGAGTTTTAAGGACTGGAAAAGTTGTAACAAACTTGCAACAATGAAGCTATGCTTTTGGATGTCTATGATCAGTAACTCATGGTCACAAAGTAAGGCAAGTGGGTTAAATTAATAGTTGAAAATTTGTTAGAAAACATGCAAAAATAATACTGAGTTTTTAAAAAAGTTTTAAACTTTCATTAAATGTTTGTTTCTGGTAAAAATCGGAACAGTCCCCTGTCTCAATTGGTAACCGGACTTTGAAAACCCTGGAAAACAGCAAGGCCAGCGCTCCGCCCGCTCAGTTGTTGTTCTCTTTGGTGGTGATGGTGACCAGCTGTTTGGCGGCCTTGGCGATGTCGTACGCACACTGGATGACCTGCTGCGTGACCAGCTGGATGTCCTCGGGCGGGCCCGAGTCCCCTGGGAGGGCCTTCTTGCACTCTGACTGGAGTCGGTGGGCACTGGACGTCAGTAAGCGGAGGGAGGTCCTCACCATGTCGGACTTGGGTTTCTAAACAGAAAACACAGCCGCTGGCCATGAAACGCAGCCGGACCTCCAAAAGCAGGAACAAGCATTCTTCTGGAAACAACTTCGGCTGTGCCAGGGTGAATGGCAGTTTTGTCGCGCACCTTTTCAATGGGGGTTCTCAGAACACTGCAAGCTTTACACCCCACGGGGTGAGAGGTGCCGAAGCACTCTCTGCCTCAAAGGCCATAGTGCACGCAGTACGATTTCAGTAGTGTGTGCTATCCTGAGGTAGTTGTTGAAAACTAGTAACCCGTTTGAGTGAAATATTCCAGATAAAATTTTATGCTATTAATACTTGGCTTTTTAGCACTGGGCTCAGACATTCTTGTCTTATTAAAAGCAATATTCATGGAGAACAAAATATTTCAATGCCCTATATGACTGTTTGCAGATTTAAGACATTTTGTGCTACAAAGAGTCTAATGTAATATCGAGGTCATAAGCAAATTTCTTGTACTTCACGTAAAAGGATGTGAACCAAGTAAGGAGGAAGTGACTTACTTTGGGGAATAATGCTGCCATTTCTGTAACAGCCACGTGTATCCTCTCCGAGCAGGGAATGTAACTGCAAGAATATTGAAGAGGTTATGAAAAAACAATAAAATAATTCAGAGACAGAGAACACTCAGGGGGAGTCACAGGTCCCACTTACACTCCCTTAAGGAGGGGGCTGAGGCCTAGGCTAGCCCGCTGAGGATCCCACGCCAACAGATCTGGTTTTATCAGGGTTCCCCCCATCCTTTCTTAAAGTTTATTCAATCTTCTCTGGCCGGGTAGGTCAGTTGGTTAGAGTGTTATCCTGATATGCCAAGGCTGTGGGTTCAATCCCCAGTCAGGGCACATAAAGGAACCAACCAATGAATGAATAAATAAAAGTGGAACAATAACTCTTTCAAATCAATAAATAAAAAATAAAAAAATATTTTTTAAAGCTAGTCCATTCAATGTGATAGAAATGGTCTCTAGGTATGAAATGGACAATATACACAATTAGCCAGGTGTGGCCACGAACAGCCTGTAAAGATATTTACACCTCCTCAAGTTCACCATTTATTTCTCATCTTCCCCATTTCTTGGAAGCAAAACAAGGATTTCCACGCAAGAGGACACAGAAGTCAACAATAAAGTATAAAAACATAATCCTTAGAATTGAAGCTTATTCCTCCACACCCACAAGTCTTTTAACCACAGGACATTTCTAAATTCCTTCCATCGAATGAGTCTGAATTGTTGAGACGCCTGAAGCTTTACTTTGGATACAGAGGAAACACTGACATCAGCTTCATACACTAGTTCAGTCACTTACCCACTTTCTTGCAAAGCTGCCATGACTTGGTGATAAAATTCACGAGCACAGTCAGCACTTTGCTTGCAGACAAACCCAAAGGCGACAAAGCGCATTAAGTCTGCCTGGCCTCATCCTTCCTCCCGGGTGGCTGGGCCCCCTAAGGGCCTGAGGTGGCAGCACAATAGCCGCAGCTCCAGGGGCCTGACTACACGCCACGCTCCATTCCCAGTGCTTTGCAGAGGCCCCCGCCATCCTCCCAACAGCCCACTGAGGTTGGTACCACTATGACACCCATTTCTCAAATGAGGAAACCGAGGCCTGGAGAGGCAGAGAACCTGGCCAAGATCCTACAGCTGCTGAGAGAACAGAGCTCAACCGTGGCCACCCCGCCTCTGAGCCTGGGACCCTCACTGCCATGCCACAGGCTGCTCTTGGCATCACAGGCAAGGAAGACACACTTTTTTCCTTTTCTGACATAGCAAGAAGCCTCTTTCCAGTGATGACTGGTGATGCTGACTTCTTAGGTGATGAGAATTGGAAGATTTGACACTTGGGTTAAGTGACGGTTCTTAGATGCCACACTGCCATTGGGCCAGAGCTTTGCTTCTAGAACTGACCTACAGAACCCACGAGAGAAATGGATACGGGAAAAACACGTAAGGAGCCTGCCTTAGCACCTTCGGAAATATGGTACGAATACAAAGGTTTGGCCTTACACGAGAACATAGCAGTGTTTTAAAATTTCCCTTCTAAGAGACAAGACCAAATGCCATTCAGCATCTATCCTAGCACTTAAACCTTCCAGTAATATTCTTCCCCCATTTTTTAAATCATGAAGTTGGCTTCTGCTTTCGAGATTGTCATTAGCAACCTCTGTACTTCATCTTTGTAAGAAATCCAGTATCAGAATTATTTTAATAAAGATTGCCTACGTTTTAGTCACTACGTTTGGTGCCAGGTTGGGTGCTCCACTTACAGGGGGAACCACTTTGTGAATGAACTAGATGTCTAACTGCTATGCTTCATATACCTCAAACTAATATAAATAATATTGAATGTCAAACGGTAATCAAAAAAACATCTTATTGAGAAAAAGACTTCTTAACACTTTAATGAAACCATCACATTTCAAGGAAACGGTTTCTATCACCCAAAATGCCTTCAAGTGGGACACCCTCACTCCCAACTCTGTAAGCAGTTGGTGCCGCACACCATGTAATAACCAAAACGCTGATGCACGAGGGCCTATTTGACTTGTCAACTCCAAGGAGCGACAACCCATCTGGTCACAGAGACGCACGGAGAAAAAGGCAATGTCCACAGTGACCCCTGTAACACGCATACATGTTCCTTGAAACTATGTCCATTAATATCACATTAACTGAGAACCATATCTAAGAGTTTTACATTTTGCTGGTTAGGATTTTCATTTTGATCCAAAACTATCATTCACCCTTCCCCCTGCTAGGTAGAGAGGAAATTTTTCCCAAGGACATTTCTCAAAGACTCATTCACTATAAGATAGTTTAGAAAGTCCTCAATAAGCTACTAAAGAAAGCACACGCAGGTTAATGAGAAAGTCCTCTTCCTTCATCAGCGGGAGTTCATGTTCACAACTTCAAATTGTTACCTTTCCTCACCAAGGCTGCTGTGCATTATATGTAGTGACCCTGAATTGTGTGTAACTGTGTGTGTGTATGTGTGTGTGTGAGAGAGCGAGGGGGAGAGACAGACACAGACAGACAGGGAGCAAGGCTGGGTGCCCCGGGGACACACCCAGCCTGAGGGAATGTCAGGGGCTGAGGGGAGCTTGCTTGGACCAGGGGACCAGAACCAAGCCTGAAGGTGCCCACATGGGCTGTTGGTCTACTCAGAATAAGCACGAGCAGCGAGTCAACCAGAGGAGAAAACAACAGGAAAAGGCACGGGTTTATGTGGGACAAAGCAAGGCTATAATTAAGTGCCTTGAGTACGTAAGTAACCAGAGATTTTAACAGAACATCAAATAATTTGTAAAATATAAATTCTCCAGACCAATTCTGGCTTAATATAGAAAAATGAGCTAGTGATTAAAATCTCTCATCATTGTCTCATGGTCTTAAAAAAGAAATCAGCCCTGGCTGGCTGGTGTGGCCCAGTGGATTGAGTACTGGCCTGTGAACCAAAGGGTCACCGGTTTGACTCCCAGTCAGGGCACATGCCTGGGTTGCAGTCCAGGTCCCCAGTGGGGGGTGTGAGAGGCAACCACACATTGATGTTTCTCTCCTTTTCTCTCTCCTTTCCCCTCTTTCTAAAAATAAATAAATAAAATATTTTTAAAAATCAGATCATAACATTTATTGAATAAATTTGTATACAAAAAAAAAACACCTTCCCAAATTATACCGAGCACCATATTGTGATTTTTGAGGCCAGAAATGGCTGCAGGGCAGGTATTTATATTTTTGACAACTACCAAAGAGAACAATGCAACCGAAGCACTTTTTTTAAAGTCCGAAACCCAAGCACGGCACTTCTGAACTAGAGGGAATAAAAAGTTTGGCCCACTGTTAAACGGAGTCGGGGCACTAGGAAAAGGAGTGCATCTTGGTACCAAGATTACTAAACGACTGGACTTGGAAAGCTGTGAGACATTCTGCTTTAGCAATAGGACAGCGGAGTTGGGGAGGAGAGGGACGAAGCACCTGTGGCACGTGAGCACACAAGCGTGCGAGAAAGAGGATGCCCGGGAAGGAGGAAGGTAAATGGCCATGAACTTTTCATGGAAGGAGCCTGGGAAGTTATGCGGTCCTTTTCTCTCAGGACCCTCCAGTGGTCCAGCCATAAAGACTGATCCCAACTCTGATCCTTCAACAAACACTGACCCTTCCTCTCCTGCCGAGTGGAAACGACAGCATCGGAGAGATCTGCACTGTGTAGAACAGGGCGGGGCAGAAAGAGGGAAGGTCAGCCTGCCAGTGCAGGGAGAGCAGAGAACGCCAGACGCCGGTGCACCTTCGTGTGGGAGAAGAGGGCAGAGACGGGGCAGCGATCTGGTCCTTAAACAACTTTTGTTGGTGTCAGGCACGAAGAGCAGTTTGCCACCGAGGGCCCTAACCTTCACTAACCTAATAAAAAGAATGAGATTGTTCTTGGGTTTTGACTAAACTGTTGCTTTCTTTGACCAAACTCAATGGGATGATAACAAATCCCGTTTCATGACCGAGTCTAGACCAGGCCGGCCACATGAAAAATTAACGACCTGCCTTAAGTTCTCAGAGGAGAGAAGGATGAGTTAGAACAAGAGCCAGCCCCTTCCTATGGTACAGAGTGACTCCGCCGATATGACTCTGCTAAGAGCAGAGTTATCTGAAGGGGATCCGATCAACTTTCATTTGTAAACCACTTGTTTCTCAGATGTTCATACACGGATACAGCACACACACAAGCACATGCATACGCGGGAGATACACGAAATCAGGTTCATTTCACAATACACGTTATGTCAGCAAACTTCTTCCCAGCTAAGGAGACCACAGGGAGCGGCGTTGCCGACCAGTGGGAAGGGTACGTTCTCTCTCAGGCGGCTTCTCTCCCTTCTCCACCCAGAACCGGGAATATCACTACCCCAACCGCACAGCAGTTCCATTTCTAGAGACTCTGCTTTTCGGAGTACGTCATAAGAATGAAAAATTGAAAACGCCAACTACACAAATTTGTTACTAAGCCTACTTTGTAAATCTGAACTTTTCAAAAACCTTTGAAATCAGGGCCTTGGGAAAAAAAATTCCTGTTCATCACTAGAGCAGCATCTCTTCCTGGGCACGTACACATTCTTCCTGGCAGGACTCTGAAGCCCCCTTACCTGTCGTGTTTATTTTCCTGGGCTGCTCTTAAGAGTTCCTGGATGTTTTTGGTGATCTGTTCAGTTTTCCGGATGACGTCTTCGGTGCTGGGGAGGAGGGGGCTAGGGGCTGTGGCGGGCTCTGCTACGTCGGGCAGTGAGCCGTCACCTTGCCACACCGTACTCCTCTGCCTTCCCTTCCTGCTTGACCTGTGAACGTTAAGGGAGACGCTAAATGTAACGGGCGCCTATCAGCACCTCTGCTTCCAGGAGCCCCTGCATCTGCACTTGTCGACGCAGCGGCAGGCCGCTTCCGTGGTTTCCTTCGTCCTGCCAGGCAGGAGACTCACGGTCGGCTGTTTCAACGAGCAGCCCCAGCTCAAAGGGAGGCTACTGCACTTACCACGGGGCCGGAAGTTATGACTCCTGCAGAAAGGGTGCAGATGGGGAAAGGGAAGGAATGACTGGAATGGGGAGGGTGTGCCATTATAAAGTCATCCCTGCCCTGACCAGGCAGTTCAGTTGGTTAGAGCGCTGTCCTGATATGCCAAGGTTTGGGTTTGATCCCCAGTCAGGGCGCATACAAGGATCAACCAATGAATACATAAATAAGTAAAACAACAAACCCATGTTTCTCTCTCCCTACCCCACCCCCAGCCTAAGTCAATAAATCAAAATTAAGAACAACAACAAAGAAAGACTTCATGGGTCTGAAAATAGAGAAGAGGGTGAAGGTAATGAACTACATTTCCTGCCAACAGCCCGCCCGATCGCTGGTTTAAGAGCCCGACCCCGGTACATCCTTCCTACAGATGTACCCCATGTCATCTGGGTCCATGTCATTGGGAGTGTTGTCATAGTCACTTTCGGGTGTGCTGTTCTGCTTCTCCAGTCTGGATGCCTACAAGAGAGAAAAGGTGTCCCCCATTAGCTCGGCGCATGAGACACCTCTTGGAAGGCTCCCCCTGGGAATTATAACCTATTAGGCCACATGGCTTTTATGGCCCAGATCTCATCTGGGACAGGGGCCTACCCTTTATTAAAAATTTAGTAAAAGATGAACAATGGATCCAGAAATGGTTTCTTTCCCTTTTCGTACCATTTTCTTCTTAGCTCGGCAGCCACTCCATAAACAGATCCTTGGTACAAACTAACACAGACACACAAGGCAACATACCCACATTTAGTCCTCTAAGGAAAATGAGTTTAACTACACCATCCCGGGAACACATTTAAATAGCAAACACGCCAGTACCTGTATACTCAGACCTGCAGTGCCGGAAGCTTCCTTCAAATCCTCTAGTCTAACCCCAGGTGAGAAAACGAAGGGCCCATTTGAAAATGATACACCCAAGGCCAGAGTCAGCAGAAAACAGGACCAAGAATCCGGGTCTCCTGGTCTCTCCAGTGTTCCATCCAGGGGCTCTGAGGATCACCGCTGCTCAAAACATGTGTGGCTCTCTAAGAACGACCCTCAAGAGATAGTTCGTACGTGCAACACCAAGAAACCAGTATCACTAGTTCATTGCCATGTTGTTTCTGAACCCAAATGGATGAACCCAGTGTGGCGCCTGGTTTCCAACCACTTTTATCAGTTTTGCAAAAACACCTAACCCTTAAAATAGAAAGACTTGATGCAACTGAGATTTAAAAGAGGAATGCTAAGCATGTCTTGTGCAAACGGCAGCACTGGGTTCAGGGCCTTCTGGGTGACAGGATTTAAGAGCACCACACTCCCTTGAAGGGCACTGTATTAGCGCGTAAGTGTTTAATAAAAATGTTTTCCCTCCGTGTTTAGTTTACCCATAATATTTGAGAAGTTCTTTATCTAGAACAGAAATCAGTAGAAGCTGATTTAAAACCTAAACAGCCCTGGCTGGTGTGGCCCAGTGGACTGAGTGCCAGTCTGCAAATCAAAAGGTCACCAGTTCAATCCCCAGTCAGGGCACATGCCTGGGTTGCTGGCCAGGTCCCCAACAAGAGGTGTATGAGAGACAACTCTTGCATATCGGTGTTTCTCTTCCTCTTTTCCTCCCTCCCTCCCTTTATGTATTTAAAAAATAAATAAGTAAAATCTTTAAAAAAAAATAACCCTAAAGCCCTGGCTGGTGTAGCTCAGTGGATTGAATGTGGGCCTGCAAACCAGAGTATCGCAGTTCGATTCCCAGTCATGGCACATACCTGGGTTGCAAGCCAGTTCCCAGCAGGGGACCTATGAGAGGCAACCACACACTGATATTTCTCCCCCTCTCTCCTTCCCTTCTCCTCTAAAGATAAATAAATAAAATCTTTAGAAATTTTTTTAAATAAAAATAATGTATTATTATAAATACGTTATTTTTATTTTGCAAAATAAACTTATTATTTTGCAAAATACAAATCTAAGCTATTTCCAGCTCTATAACTTGAATTTAATCCAAGTTAATCAAACATGTGACCAAGAAATTTTATTAATGCTGCAATAAAATGTGGCTAAAGGTACAGCTGTACAGTTGACCCTTAAAGAATACGGGTTTCACCCTGGCTGCTGTGGCTCAGTGGACTGAGTGCCCGATTGCACAGCAAACGGTCATTGGCTCAATTCCCAGTCAGGGCACATGCCTGGGTTGAGGGCCAGGTCCCCACTGGGGGGACACACAAGGGGCAGCCACGCACTGATGTTTCTCTCCCTCTTCCTCCCTCCATTCCCATCTAAAAATAAATAGAATATTTTTTAAAAAGAATACAGGTTTGAACTGTGTGGGTCCACTTACATGCAATTTTTAAAAAATATTTTTTTAATATTAAAATAGTCTCTCCCAGATGGGGAGACTCTAATGTTATTCACATTACCTTTTGCTTACTATCCCCATGGCCTCTCTCTCCTCTCCTTGGGCAAATGCTGTCTTTCTCTGTTTGCTGAGATCTTTCACATTCCCTGCAAATGCTCTGTTTGGTCCTAGCCCCACAACACTTGTGCTGGGCTCCTGAAATCTGTACTTTACCCACTCAACTTCATCTGGCAAATGATTATAAGTGTTAGCTTAGAGCCATATGAAGAGTTTCAGTTCTGTAAAATTGACTGCAACTTCTAAGATCTCTTTGTTTATATCTTCTGCAGGCAAGCAGTTCTGCTCACTTGCTGCTTTATTTTGACCTGGCTTTATGAATCAATCAGTGAGCTACTGGCTATGTGAGGTTTAGATGGAAGACCAAAGGCAGGCACTGCATCCGGTGCAGGGAACAGTGAAGTCAGGCTCTTTGGGAGGTGATCTCAAAAACAAAAACAAAAGCCCATCTTACCTTTCACAGGGAATGTCTGACCAATCTTTAAGTTTCTTTTCCTTTAGTTTTTATATACACACACACAGCTGAGTGTGCACACACACACACACACACATGTAAATGTAATGTAAAAAATGTGCATTTAAAGAATTATTCTGGAAAATTCACCCAGAGCTGCTCCAGTGGAAAAATCTAGAAAAGAGATTTAAGCCCAGAAAATCCCACATTTTTATGATGAATCTTTTTATATTCCTTGATGTAAACTTGGCATTTACAAATCCAATGCACTACGCCCACAATGATCAAAAGTACTAAGTTTCATTTAAACGTTTTAGGAGAGCGTATGCATTATTCAGGGTATGTCTCTCGAACACTGAAAGCGAGGTACAGCAGTCACTATCTGGGAAATCATGTACTTACACATTAAGTCCTTCACTGTCGTCAACAAAAACATACGTACAGCATTTCAAATTAGCCAGCATTTAATTTTGTGAAAATCACTGTCAACATGCAGAGGTAAGATCCATTAGTTAAAAGTGCTGCTCTCTCAAAGCTGTTAATAGAAAAGTTACTGTATAGCGAGCTGGTGCTGGTTCAGTTTGTTTAGCAGATTTGCAATGTTTTTTGAACACAGACATGCCATAAAAACCTAAACTCATGCTGAAGCTTTCAGGAACATTCAGAATGATCACTTTAAATGACTTTAATTTTGTAGGAAACTCAGTCTCAGCAAGCAGTCCTTGCCGTGATTCCCAAAACTACCAAATCTTGGGTTTAAAAAAAAATTTCAGTGCATAAAAGTTTACCTGACTCATTAGAATTACAAATGAAAAGTTTCATTTCTATTAACTGTCCCTTAGCTTAAATGACATATCATAGTAAAAAAAATGCAGTTCCATTTAAGAACTTCTCAGAAGACTTGAAGTATAACACATATCAAGAATTATTTTTTAGTAGACTACTTCAAAACTGCAGAAAAGAACCCCCAAAGGGCCTTCATGGGCCATATGGCTCTGACAGTCCTGCTGATGTGCAGGAAATGGACAAAGGCCCACTGCACATCCCACCACGTCTACAAAGGTGGTCCTGCACCCATAGCCTCCTTCCCTCTTCTCAGCTTGTTACATTCCCCTTCTGTTAAAAAACAAATAAGCGAGTAAGGACCTGACAGTAGACCTTCAAAGCCTGTGCTCTTTCCACATCTCTCCCAGCTTGCCATCAAGTCCTTTTCATGCATGAAAGTATTTTTTAAATTGACAGTGCCTTTGGGAGCAGGGATGTCACCTGAGTCCCTAGGGCCCTTTCGCTGACTTACTGAAAGGTTGGATATGGAGGAGGTGCTTAAAAAATACTTGCTGCCTGGCTCTCCTAAAAGGAGCTTGCCTAAACCACGTACTGTTACTGGGAAATTTGTTATACAACAGAAAGATGGACTTGACCAACTGATAAAGAGAACAGCTTCATACTAGCAGCCGCCAACACCTCCAGTTCCGCTAAGTGCTGCCAAGCCTACGTGAGACGCAGGGATAGCAAAACCCTGGTTTGTCATGTAGGGTGCCGACATGAAATATGTTGAAGTTAAAAAAATAAAGCATGATTTAGTATTTCAGTTGGTCCAAATATACTCATTTTAATCTGAAAACTGAAGCTCTGAACAAATTTGAGTTTGCCCTAGTACAATATTTAACTTTAACCGGCAGCCAGCTAATTTTCTGGTTGTTTAAAATGACAGAACACTCAGAATAAATATTACAGGGTAGATTGTGGATTTTGTTAAATAGTGCACGAAACAGAGTAACGTGGAGTTAGACAAAAGGGAGGCCGCTTCCTACAGATGTGCGTGCGTGCCCATGCACACTGCTGTGCTCGTGACACACCGAGAGGGAAGTGCTACCTCATGCAGGACAGAGGGCAGTTAGCAAGGGACAAGAGTGACAGGAGGGCCAGGAGGGCCAGAAACACAAAGCGCCCAGAAGCACGGCCCCTCCTCCAGAGAGCAGACCATTCAGAGTGTACTTAACCCTTCGGGTGCTTTCGTCCCTGGACCAGGAAAGTGTGGAGGGGAAGGAAGGCAGAGACGAAGAGGAGGTCACAAGCGCACTCCTCCCAATCTGAAAGGGGAAAAAGAAACACACTCGGGAAAAGACAAACGACAAAACCCCACCACCTACCCTGGCTTCTGCCCAGGCTGCTCAGTAAGAGTTCTGCAAAGCTGCTCCCTGCGAGACTGGTGCTGAAATCTCTCTGCAGGCGGCTGGCTGTCACGCTAGCCTCGCCAACACAGACGACCAGTGGTGTTTAATCCCTTAGTGAAATGCTTCCCAGAAATCATTCAAAATTTATAAAGCTATTTTTTTCTATAAGGGCAAAGATAATACCTAGCATAATTTGTCAAATTTGCTGATAGTTTTAAAAAATAAATAACTGCAAACAAATATTTGTTTTTTAATCAGGACAGATAATATGAAATGAGAAACTATGAATGATTAAAAATTGGTATATATGTTAACAATCTATTTTTTAATAGACATAAAACTAATTTTGCAATATTATGACATTCTTATATTCTAAATGTTTCTAAAATAAAAAAGTACACTATGAAAACTAACAAAGGTAGTTTTCATAAATTTTGTTTTCAGTAATACAAAAATAAGATTCTTAGTTCAATGACATTTGCACTATACCAAATGCATCAGATCAATTGCTTTAGAACATTCAGCCCAAACAACTTAAAAAGTCCATTGTAATGGACTCCCAATTACAATATAACAACACTGTAATTTTACCACATTAAAGCTGAACAAAATTAAAGTACAGTTTAATTTATTAGGTTATACATATCCCTTACTTTGGATTTACTCTGGGAATCTTTTGGAAACTCCTATAAAATCTGACTGAAAAATAACTATACTATTAAAAAAGATAAACATTACTATTACTCTAAAAAACATAACATCAGTTCAAAATGTAACATTTTATCAAAGCAGATTTTTAAAATAAATCAATCTGAAAGAAATACATTGTGTGAAACCTCACAATACTTATCCCATTATAACATATTAGTCGCCTGTTACAGAACACAATCTTTAATCTTTGGAATACAAAACTTGTAAAATCAGTGTAGAGTTTTTACACCTCATTCTTGTGAAATCGCAAAGCCCTGCTTCCTCCACGGATGGGAGGCGCGGGAGGCAGAAGCTAAGCAGACACGCTGGCCACACATGCAGAAGCTGGGCAGGCCCAGAGGCTTCTATACCTAGTCCGTGTGTGTGTCCAGACCACAGACACCACCTACTCGAGTGGGGCCAGCAGAGAAGGTACCTTGAATTCTAAGAGCTCCAGTTTAAAAAGTGGCACATAACTTAGAGAAGATGGCACTTATGCCAGTGACCTTTACAATTGTTTGTGTTTTTGGAAGTGGGGAAGCAAGTTTGTTATAAAAATAAAATTCCAGCCCTGGCTGGTGTGGCTCAGTGGATTGAGTGCCAGCCTGCAAATCAGAGTCACTGGTTCGATTCCCAGTCAGGGCACATGCCTGGGGAGAGGTGGGCCAGGTCCCCAGTAGGGGGTGGGGGCAGTGTGCAAGAGTCAATCACACATTGGTGTTTTTCTCCCTCTCTCCTTCCTTTCCTCTCTAAAAATAAATAAATAAAATCTTTTTAAAAAATTCCAACACTGGCTGGCTGGGGAAGATATTATGGTCACTAGGAAGACAATGGGAAGGAGAGCTGAACAAGAACCAGAAACCCCAGCCTCGTTGGAAAAATGTGGCTAATGGCTCTGTGTGCTTGCAGTGCTCCCATAATCATCTGTAGAGACATTAATACAGCAAACATGACGACAACTCTCATAGCCCATTTGACACAGCAAGACGTGGGCATCTGCAGGTTCAGAAGAGGCAATGCAGGAGTCAGGCGGGACAGAGGGTAAATAGCAAAAGCGCCAGTGGTGTTACTTACGTGTGCGGGGAAAGGCTGGAGTCTTGTCCTGTTCTCTTCTGGGTGGTTCGCTTCTCCCATTGGGAGATATGGTTTCTGACCTGATCCCGTCTCGTACATGGACATGGGCCTACTGCCCCGGGCAGACGGACGTCGCTTTAAGGAAGAGTGGTTGGAAGTGTCTGTGTACTCAGAACCAGTTTGCACCTGATATATATTGGTTGTAGCCTGTTTCCTGAGGTTCGAATTTTCACTCTGGAGTGTTTGAAGCTGAAAGAAATGTTTGGCAGTGGGACTGTGTTTTTCAATAGCAAGCAGAAAGAGCAAACACCAAATAAATGCACAGAACTACCAGCTTTAAACGACAAGAACAGTAACAACTAGCTGAGCTGAAAGTAAAAGGCAACTATAAATGAGAACTCTATCTTTTAGAATGAATGAAATGCAATCAACTCACTTCATCACTGAGGCATATTAAATAACTTAATTTCTGAATGTGGAAAAGTTGCAATTTGGTCTCTGTAAAAATGAAATATCTAACCACTTAAAATTTGGTCATGGCGGGCCCGGGAAATGTATGCAGGCAGGCTGAACTCTGGATTATCCTAAATAAATTATTGCTTGTTTCCAGCAAGAACTTGAGATCATTAAGACATCGCTGAAGTAACTTGCTTTTCAAATGAGCCCTATGCAATTTGCAAATGCCAAAAATGCCGGCAGACACAATGGAAGCAGAACAAAATTTACTGCAGTTGCTGTGCAAAGCAAGAAAGACAGTGAAGTTCAGCTTATGAAAAATCAGATCAACTACTGCTTCCCAAAACGCCAACAAGAAAAATTATGATCAGTAAGTTTTTATTACATAATACCCTTGATGTTCCAAACAATATAGCACTTTTTAAAAAATAGAGGGAACTGAATCATGGTACGTTTGCTGTATTAACATATCACAAAGAAAACTGAAGACCTATTGAACTATGTTAAAATCTTCATCCAAATGCTCCATGCAGCAGGCTCGCTTCCCTCTGGTGATTGGTCAGCTTCCAGTCACGGCCGGAATATGTGGCCTCTCGCTCCTTTGGCTTTGCCACCCAGAATTGCGGCCATGGTGGTGTCAGCTTTAAACACTCTAATCTGCCTGGCACCACCCCATTTTAGTTAGAGGCTGTCACTTGGAGACCCTGAATGCTCTTTCCATTCCTCACATGCAGGCTGCTTCACGGTGTCTGATGAATTAGTTTAGGGATCAGCAAGGAATCGTGTTACTCTTTCGCATCTGGCATTTTAAACGCAATTAACTGAGTCCACTTTGCAGAGTGTCCTTCCCCTCCGGCGTTCCTTCATCTTCCGTGACATTTTATGAGCTGGGTGTGGTGTGAGTTCAGCTGTCTAGTCTTTGACAGAGACTGTAAAATCTGACCGAAACCCCACCAAGGCCAAGGCTCAGGTCCGCACCAAACTTATATGCGCCAGGAGATCATTACTTTCTCAATAGCAAACCCATTCAGTGTTAGGAGTTACTTTCAATTTCTATTTATAAAGCACCGATCTGCGAAAAATACACCAATAGGGGCTGCTCCTCTTCATTAATTAGCATCTTTTCCAAGCAACTGTTAAAATGTGAAAGATCAGATACAAATCATGCTACTTTGTCAACTATATATATATATATAAAAAGACTTTACCTAACTTTAAAAAAAAATCAATACATCTTTGCTGAATAAACATATTCCACATATGTTGTTAATAGTGCCAAACTTTTGTGAAAGCTTGACTTACTGCCTCTGCCAGAGAAATACCCTCACTCTCAGCTTTCCAGAGGAGTGACCTGCTAAGGAATGACAGATTGCTTCTGCAGGAAAAAGGCTTTCAGGGTGTAACTCTTACCTGCAACTCCCCTTCCAAAGAAGGAGCAGCTGCAAAGTGACAAGCAGCCACTGAAAATTCCTACATTCCAGGATACAGACAGGCCTAAGGTGCCAGTCAGACTGTATCAGGGAACCTATATCCTGAAGTGAAATGGTCAGGTACAAAGACTGAGAAGCATAACTGATACAGGCCTGTCAATTTGGGACTGGGGGGTCTGGGCACACATCTATGCATAAACTTCTCTTAGAATTGTTTAGACAAGGCCTTGAAATCTGAAACTTTATCTTAATACTTGTGTGTCTCTGAAACATCCAGTCTGGATTTTGCTTGCAAGTTTTTTGATGAGCACAAGTTCCTGGTCTTAATTTTTAAGAATTTTAGTATATTCTGTATTTAGAGAGATGTCCTCAAATAAATCTAAATGATGCTTATCTTAATAAGAACCAGGCTACCCTTTTTTTGTTTGGAAGAAGTGTAACAGGAAATGAAAATTACAGATAATTCAATATTTTCAGAAATCAAAAGCACTTTCTAAGAATTGAGAAAATAATCATGAGCAATAGCAAATAATTTCACTCTGCATTTCTTAAAGAAGCTCAAGACATCTGCTTTCAGAGGTAGGTTATCTCTGGCAATTTCTACAAGTACTAAAAAACGCATTAGAGAATTTAAAAAATTGATGCTTAGCAGGTTGATTCACAGTGGCAAAGTCTGCATGTTTCAGAAAAAGGCACCTCAACAAAATTATTAGTTCAACTAATGGGTCAAATTCTAATTCACTGAACAAAAGGTAACAGAAAAGACAAAGGAAGTGTGAGCCCGCATACACGGCTCCTGGGCTCCTGGTCTGTGCCGTTCTCAGCAGCACACCCGCCCTCGGCAGGGCCAGCGCAACACAGATGACCTGTTGGTTTAAAATCTGCCTGATCTGCAGGCACTCCTGTCCCTTCTGTTCTAGGGAGTAGAGTCATTTATCTCGATAGGTCACAAAAACGATCCAGAACTCAATACTGAGAGACTCCCAGACCGAGCCCAGGCAGGGGCACTGCACGGCACTGCCCTGACAGGCCTTGTGTTAGTTCCGCGGCCTCCCTCCAGGGAGCTGTAAATGGCCCAGCCGCAAATGGGGTGCACCATGTCTTCCATTCCTAATAATGATTCTGAAGCATTGCTCTCCAAATGACTTTATTGTGTTTCTGTTTAAGGGAAGTGTACAAAATTTCATGTTGTAGGGAGCTAAATGATGGGAGCAGTACCCACAAAGTTTTGGGTAGAATTTAGAATTTTTAAACTTCCTTTTCTTAGAACCCTCATTAAAAATTACATATGTAATTCCCACCTTAGGCAAATTACTTGCTACCATTAACCATGGTACTCTCTTACTCTCTTAAAAGACAATGAATGAGAAAATGCTGAGCAAATGGGGTTGTTTCTTACTCGTGTACAGCTCTCACTAGTGCAAATAAAAATGCTTATATTCATTGAGAGCCTGCTCTGGGGAAGTCCCTGCTCCAGACTCTGAAGACCTCATAAGTTAGTGGTTAAGTACCAGTGGAAAAGTGGGGATGTGGAACAGGGCTGCCAGGGCAGGGGTGAGCAACAACTTAGAATAAGGATGAACAGGGACAGCACCCCTTGCATGGCGTGGGGTGGGGTATGATGTGGAGCGCTGATAAACACAGGTACCTCTTCAGGGCTTTCATCTGCTCTTTCTAGTACAATGAGCAATGGGAAGAACTGCATCCTTGGAGTGGCATCCAGGATCCCAGCAAGCACAGAATAGTGCAAGGGTTACTACAACTGATACAAACACTTAATAGGTTGGATGTTTCTCCTACTAGGAGGCTTACTCTGGATTTATTTCTTATCAAAACTACTTAATCTGAAATATCCGAATACACACTGCTCCCAAAAAGACAGCTTGGCCCAAAGATTTTTAGGTCTGTTATAATAACTGTTCTTCTTCCCTCTGACCACAAGCATTGCGCCTGGGACTCTTCCTTATTCTATGGGGTTAAAGCGTCAGTCATCCTGGCATTTATTAGCATGTTACCTTTTTCTGCATAATTCTCAGCTCGTCACTCAAGTTGTTATTCACCTTCATTAGCTGCTGTATCTTGGCCTCAGAAGCCACTAGAGCGTTTTTGACCTCCATAAACTCCTGCACAGTGACTGGTCCATCTGACAAATCTGAATCTAGGCTCTAAAAATAAATTGGGGAAAATGTTCACAATCTGAGAAGATAACATTCAAGACTAAAAGCTAAAGAATTTCAAATTTCTGACCATGCCAGCTGGATTGCAAAGTTAATCAAACCAAATCAAGGCTTCTGAGGATAATGCAAAAATTAAACATAATGGTGGGTTTACTATAATATTTGAAAAAATCTGAAGTCAGCATTTTCTAACAGAATTGGCAGTGGGGCTACATATAAATCTACTCTGACGATGACTCTCTAAGTGCACCTGTCTTGTCTGCCTTTCCTTGCTTATTCATTTTTCTTTTTTATTCATTCTTTCATTAATTCATTCATTCCAACAGATTTTAACTGAGCATCAGGCCGTGTTCTAGGGGCTTGGGATATACAAGAAAATAAAATAGACAATTCCTATTTCCATGACATTTATTTCCAGAGTGAGGGAGACAAAAATAGGTAACTATATAGTACGACAGACAGGTGGTACGTGTGGCGGAAAGTAAATAAAGTGGAGAAGGCTGAGGGGCAGGGGAGCCGAAGTAGAGCCGATGGTGATGCATTATAATGAGAGATTCTGGGGTGAGCCCCTGGTAGGCGAGATGTGAGCAACAGCCTACAGGAGGTGAGGATATTAGTGAAGTGGCTGTCTGGAGGCAGATGGCTCCAGCCACTGGCAGAGCTCAGCTAGAGGGAGCGAGTGTGCAGGGCAGAGAGGCGTGGGAGGCCGCCAGTCCGCAAAGGACCCTGTCGTCACTTTTGCTTTCACCGAGTGAACCTGGTACTGCTGGGAGAACTGGGCAGGGTTGTTTCACCCAAGTGACCCTTGCTGTCCTCTCCACATTCCTTACATCTGCCAACGGCACCACCATTCTCTCTGTCCTGTGAGCTGCAAATTCTCAACACATCTTTTCTAAGTCTAGCCCCCCATCCTCAAACATCCAACTAATTGCCAGGGCCTATCTTTTCTGTCTTCCTGTTCATCCATTCTCAAATGTTTGCTGAGTCCCTCTGTGAGACAGGTCTGGGTCAAGTCCTAGGGATTCGGCAGAGGGTGGACCAGCCAGACCCCTACTACCCATTCTCCAGGCTCGCAATGTACCACAGTGACCTCTCTCCCACCTGGACCCCCCCAGTCTTGAAGTGGCCTGGCCAGCTCTTCGGGAATACCCTAATTGGGTTCCTTTCCTCTACTCTCTGACCATCCAGAACACTCCTCCTCCCAAAACAGAGGATCCCAAATGGCTAGCCATTGCCTCCTGTCCTGACTAAAAGCTTCCTGGGCTCCGCACTGCCTACAGAGGTCCCTGCTCTTCAGTCTGGTGTAATGTTCCTCCATGGTGTGACCTCTGTCCTCTGCTGCAGCTTTCAGGCCCGCTCCTTTTGGGCTGCCTCTACACATCACCATTTCCCCCCAGATGCCCCTTTCCACTCTCTCTTCCTAGACCACCCTTCCCTGCCTCTCCACGTGCTCAAACCCACGCATCCTTTAGGACATGTTAAGAGCCATTCTATTTACAAAGGCTCCCCTGATACTGCTTTTCAGCATCAAGTGTGTCTCCTTTCCCCACTGCCCGTTTATGCTGCTTATGACACGTATCATCGTGTGATTTGAATGCAGCTCTCTCTGCTCTTAGGCAGTGACAACCTCCCAAGAAAGAAACTAGATCAGACCTCGTTCAGGAGCACATTATTCAGAGAAGTCACTCGGTAAACATTTGTTGAAAAATGAAACACACCAGTCCTTCCTCACAAGTTTTATAAAGTCACAACTGCAGCAGGGCTGTGTGATTCAGCAACTGACTCAGGGACCAAGGACGCCCTCTTTTAAAACTATTTGCCTCGCTTGACCTTTGCCTGGCCCCATCCCGCTAGTTACCTGAACTCAACTCCATAGCACTTCCACAGGCCAGCCCGCAAGAGATTTACAAGGCCGGAGGTTCCGCAGGAGCAAATATTTCTGCCAGAAACACAGCCTCCCTTTCTGTGCGTCACCTCACCTTCTGCCTGTGTGCCTTGCTTGCAGTGGCTTCCAGGTCCGGGTCTTCATCCGACGCCACACTGTCATAGTCTGGCTGGTCATTATCTTGATTCTCAATACTGTGCTGGTTATTGATTGTTTTTAGTATGAGCTCCACATTGTCTATCAATAGAAGCAAATAACTTTACTTCAGGCTTAAAATAAACTTTTTCCCCAAAAAAACTACTGGGAGGATTTTTGGACTTAGTCATTTAAAAGACTGAAAGAAAAGGACAGAAATAGCAGTATTATATTAACACCAATATAGAGATAACAGCAAGTTATAAACCAGACACACAGCCTCGAACCTACTATAAACTGTGTTGAGAGATTTAAGCATCACTCTGAGTTTCTTGCCAAATGTGGGCAAATAATTAGGTGGTTTCTGAAGGAGCTGCTCAGATGAAGGAAGCAGGTTCCCAAGTTTTTATCATTCAGTGAGATAGAGTATAGCTCCATATTGTGGAGATAAAGCTGTACTAATGCATGCTGAACTGTGATTAATAAGATAACGTCCAGTCAAGACAGAAAGGCCCTGACTGGTGTGACTTAGTGGGGTGGTCGACCTCCTGCAAACCGGGAAAGGTCGATAGTCAGTTCCCGACCAGGTCCTGGCTGGGGGTGTGCAACAGACAACCTACCTGATGCTTCTCTCACACATCAGTGTTCCTCTCCCTCCTTCTCCTTCCCTTCCCCTTTCTCTGTAAATAAAATCTTTTAAAAAATGATCAAAAGGAAATGGTTAAAGTGGAGCCTACAAGCTAGGTGCTCAAAGAACAAGGTACTGATATTTAGTCAGCTGGATGCCAGTGAGAGAAAGAAGAAAAAAGAACGACCCAGCAGACACACACACAAGCATGGTCTACAGGGGGCAGGGATGATTTCACAGGCTCTAACACATTTTGAATTAAAAAGTTCACAAATTATCCAAGCCTCTCCAATTTCTTTCACACAACTCAAGCTAACCTCTAACTTCCAATATAGTTTCTGGATATTTTGACAGACAATATCTGGATAATAAATTATGGTTATGTAAAAGGAATTTAATTTTTAAAATTAATATTTAAAGTATACATATCGCCTAATTAAAGAATAAAGATTCGACACAGAAACTTTGAAACTAATGAATCATTTACAGCCACTGACAGAGTTATTCTCTGCCCTAAGCACACACACACACACACGGTCATTATTTGTACGAGTTACGACCCATAAAGTTGTTGCAAAGGCTGAATTATCAAATACTGACCATTGTTCTGAATGGAAACACGGGGATAGGTTTCTGCAAGTCTCTGGCACAACCTTGTTTTACGAGTGTTGTGTTTAAAGACACCTTTATTTTATTTTTAAAGCTTTTATTTACTTATTTTTAGAGAGGAAGGGAGAAGGAGGGAGAAAAACATCAATACGTGGTTGCCTCTCGCATACCACCTACTAGGGACCTGGTCTGCAACCCACGCATGTGCCCTGACAGTGACCCTCTGGTTTACAGGCTGGTGCTCAATCCACTGAGCCATGCCAGCCAGGGCAAGACATCTTTAATATATATTACTGATTCACTAGCACTGAACTCCCAAACAACAGCCCTAGAACTCATGCCTAAATGAAGCTTATCTAACACATGCATTTTTTCTGTAAGGCCTATCACAGTCTTCTTGTGCTTACGAACCCTAAAGAGCACTTCAACACTACACTTGGGGGCCGTTTTAAACAGTGAAATCACCGACAAAAAGAACAGAAATGTGAAAAAAAATATAACACTAAATAGATCTTGAAAAGACACTTGTTTACAATATGAAAGCTGAGACAAAAGGCAAAGTGTGGCCCTATTCAATCTCAGCTGGGAACACGTGTGTTTGGTGACTCAAATTTCTGAGCATGCTGCACATGTCTACAAATTACCACGGAAGTGCTGTGAGCACTGATTTACACTTACAAACACATGTTAGTGAACCAGTGAATTTGCAAATACAGAACCTGTGAATAAAGAGGGCTGATTACATATTCGTATTCACATCTGGTATAGCTACTTCTACATATGTATATATATAAATTTCTTCCTTACAAAGTTGGGATTATACTGAACCTTTATTTAAAAATTATTACTTTATTCTTGTCATTACATATTCTCTGAAAAAGAAAGTTTGCGCACTATTCAACTATGGGACTAAATGTTTCTCTATTATTGTTTCTAATGTTTTCAGTGTTATAGATTATTTCCCCTCAATTAACACTTAGAAGTGAAACCATCGAATCAAAATAGCACGTACACTTTGATGCTCCAAACTTCTGATGAAAGGACTCTTATCACTGCACCTTCAACAGGGTCTAACAAGCTTCCTTAGAACTTGTTTACTCCTGGCTGAACCAGTAAAATCAAGAACAAATTGTCAGTTAATAAGTATTTACTGTCGCTGGGGAATGTGTTGTTGACTGAAAACTTAATTTTTATCATGTTATTTCTTCTGTTTAAGTGTTTTACAATAAAACGCATTATTTTTATTTGTTTTATGTATTAATTTTAAGGAGGGGCGAGAAATAGAAATTGATTTGTTGTTCCACTTATGCATTTATTGGTTGATTCTTATATGCGTTCTGGCTGGAATCAAACCTGTAACCTTGGCATATGGGGACAACGCTCTAACCAACTGAACTACTTGGCCAGAGCTGTATTATTTTTATAATTAGAAAAAATGAGGATACAGTTTTGGGCTGAAAGAAGCATGTTCCTAAGCATGGAGAGAGGACCTTGAGGTGCTAAGCTGGACTGAGCAGAGCACCTCAGAAACAGGCACTAGGTGCTCTCTCTACAATTTTAAACCACAGTAATTCTCGCTGTAGACATCTAAAATTCATAGTAGCAAATGTTCAGTATCTACAAGTCAGTCGTGTAGCTCAGCAACAGCAGGTGGGCTGCAACTGCAATCCAGAGGACCCGGTTCTGCAGCTGAGGAGCCCGGAGCGCACAGCTGACGGGCTCAGGCTGCTGCTGCTGGAGGGACGGTCCCCTCCAACAAGATGGGGTGGTGGTTCTTGCCAACAAAAGTGCGAACAGGTTCGGGTGAAGCAGCCAAGGGGGGTCCCCTTGAGCAAGTAAGCTACAAGTGCCCTTCTTCAGCACCGGGGATATTTTCCTCCACACCCACCTTCCCAGACTGAGCTGCCTCTACTACTTTGGGGTGAAAACTCCTGATAAAGTCACTTTTCATTAGAACTTGGTCATCCATGTTGGTATGAGATGGAATGTAAAGTTTTGGGGGGGAAGAGGGAAGGGAAAAATTGTCATCCCTCCAAAATATTATGAAAACACAGAAACAACATGTAAAGGACAGTAGTGGCAGCTTTTAGGACAATGAAGCAAAGAAGAGCTGCAAACAAAGCTTATTTATTTCCAATAAACATATTTTAAAAGTAGATTAGGAAGAAAAGAGGGCTTATTAAGTACTTTAACAAGATCTATATTGGACTTTTGGGTTAATTTCAATATGCAATTTTATAGGAATAAAGATTGGTGACTCAAGAGGAAAGAAGCCATACATATATTTGAAGAGCAGTTAAGAGTGCTGAAATACTCACAATTTACCAGGGCTTCAAGAGGTAAACTTCCTGTCACAACATAGTACTGACAAAATGTAAAGGCTTTAACTAAGCTATTCTGTTGATGACTGCTCTAATTACTTTATAACTTTAAATCTAACGTGTCAAATTTAGGAGGCCAAAGAAGCAAACATTTAGAGGTTTGAAACAGTTACCTTTTGAACTAGAGAGAGCACTGCCTTGCTGTCTCCTCTTGGCATCACTGAGAATGTCAATAACCAGCGTGGCAAACTCATGGGCGTTAAATCGAGCTAATTTCTGTCTGCCCTGGGGGTGAAAAAATAATTGGAAATACTCCCAAATGCAAAAACACACGATAAATATTCACATACAAGTAGTGGGACTATTGTTAGACTTAAGCAAAGACCTTCCAGTGCCATAAAGGTATCATCAATCATGGCCACAATTGAACTGAACATTAGCATTTCCTTGCAATCAGTTTAAAACCATTTACATAAGAGAACTATGTAACATTTAAGTTCTTACAATGCATATTTATTTTGGGGAACAAAAACAAAGTGGTTGTACCTCAAGCTTTTTTTCTAATATCAAGTCAGCTTGGAACTATACCTAGTGATGAAAAATTAATTTGGAGGGAAAATTTTAAAATTTCAAGTTAAACAAATAATAGTCTAGAATACTGCTGGACCTCCATCATTACCTAGAGCCATTAATCAATAAAAATACCATCCTAATTTAATCAACTTTTCTCCTCTTGATGGATATTGAGGCTGTGTTTAATGCTCTATTACTACATACAGTGCTTCAGTGAAAACTGCTGTGCATGAAATCTTTGTATTTTTATTTTAAAACATATTCCCAAACAAGGAATCCCCCTGTGAAAGGACAGGTACTTAATCTTGAGGTTAACAAACTGCTTTTCTAAAGTCTACAACAATCTGAACTCTCATCTGCAGCATTAGAAAGTCCATCTTGCCAGATCTTTACAGTATGAAGTACTCCTTATCATACACTTTATTAATCTGACTGATGAAACTTTCATTAATGCTTTAAGGTGGCTTTCCTTGATTACTGATGAGGTCAAACATTTCTTCATATGCGAAGGCCATTTATATTTCTTCTGTGAATTGTTTATGTTCTTGCCCAGGCATCTATTCATATCTACTATTTTTTTTATCAGTTTGTGAATTTTCTGTGCATATAAAGGCTATTAACATTTGACACAATCAAAAAATTTGAAACACCTCTCTTGGAAAAACAAAATACCAAGGTATCAGCTATTCTCAAAATAGCACAACTGGTTACTCTTCGCACTTAGCCACTTGCCTGGTTCCGTGTTGACGAGTACTCGGGATTGACCGGAAGGAAGGGGACGACAGTTGTCTCGGTCACCAGGGTGCTGTGGTTTTGCGTGGCAAGCCAGACTAGCCAGAGGAAAGAGCCAGAGATAGAGTCTCGTCACCATGGGTACGCCACTGCTCCTCTGAGAGCCGCGGCCCCTGCCTTCCCAGGGAGACTCAAGGAAGCGCACTCCTAAGCCAACACACACAAACATGAATGTTCACACACGTGTTATCGGGACAGTAGAAACTGGGCAAGTGAAACACTCAGGCTGGCAGCTTGTCACTGCCCACTTATAATAAGCTCACTAGATAAAGCCACATGTGAAGTCACCTGCGTCAGTCTCTCGCCTGTCAACTTCATCGTATACATCCATGGCAAGTTCTTCAAACAAATGATTATTTAGCTGAAAGTAAAGAAAAATACCAGGAATACAAGGACAAGAATTAACATTAGCAGAATGAGCAGGGACTGTGACTTACTCACCCTTTTATCTCCAATCTTTTAACCCGAAGCCAGTGCTTAGCAAATGCCCACTGTAACACAGTAACATTTAACAGTACAGATCCTTTAGAACTGTCTGCTTCCTAGAGCAGCCTCACTCCTCCCCGGTGTGCAGATAGGGCTGTGCTGTAAGGGAGGTAAGGGGCGTCTACAGCATGTGTCTCAAACACAGGCTCCAGTACTCCACCCTGTGGGTGATATCACCCTTTAAGGCTTCTCTTTCACTCTTGAGAATGTTTGCTGAAGCCCCTAGATAAAACAGGTCATAAACTCTCAGCAGGATAAAGATGCCAAATCATGGCATTTTGAGAGGACAGAACATGCCGTTACACAAAAATATCACCAGACCTTGGTTAAACCTCTTTGCTATCCTCCTCAGCAGCAGCCCACCACTCCCCAGAACTGAGCATCACCAACAGAGAGTAGCCTGGCTGTCCAGTACGCTGTGCAGGGCCAGCCAGCAGAATGTCCCCACACAGACTAGGTGCCTGCTTGGCAGCAACCTGGACAGCCAGGGTTGGGTCTTCCCACCACAGACAAGGCTAAGCCCCTGCCAGAGTGTCTCTGGCTCTCTCTGGGCGTTTTTTCTTCATAAAACGCACCCTGTCTCTTGATGGCTGTTACTTTTTAGTCGACTGCTTCCCATTCTGTAAGAGCAGACAGAATCTCTCTACTATGTCCCACACATCTACAGGCAGTACCTGGCACGGAGGTGGGGGCTCTGCGCATGTCCAATCACACACTGACCACACAGGGCCTCATACAGCAGTTTTAAATGCTGGCTACACAGGCCTCATGGGAAATCATTAAAATGGGTACAGGTATTGTTAAGTGAAAAAAAGCAGGTATAAAATCTATAATTATGATACAGATTCAGTGAGAAAATATGTACCTGAAACAAGAATTAGAAGAAATATACCGAAATACCGAGCCTGAATCCATTACGAGTATGGTGGATAGAGTGATTCCCCTTCTCTATTTTGCAAATTTTCTCTACTGTGGTTACATCATACTTATAACAAAGTAAGTTCTAGATAAGGTGATGAGGATTGGAAACTTGAATTTGCACCTTAAATATGTAGTCTCTTTCCTCTTAGAGCCATAAGCCAATGCTGTTACCACTAACAATAACTACAACAGCAATACTGAATGAAGGCTTACATCCAAGGCACGGTGTTCATACCTATGCAACACTGACAATGCCTCTATGAAATAGAAACCACTATTACTCCATTCTACAGATGAGGAAATTGAGGCACAGAGGTTAGTAACTTATCTAAAGTAGAGCCAGTAAGTGACAATAGGTCTAAGATCCAAATTTAAGTCTGTCACAATGTTAACATTTGCTAATTCAAGGAATACATTAGTATTATTATATTTTTCCTAGCTTTTCAGAAGGGAGGAAGTATAGGTAGGTAGAGATGGGGGAGTAAGGGAGATATTGTGGGATAAACACTGAACTGGCACTTAAAATATGCCGTGGGGTCTCCTCCTTCTCACCCATAGGAAGCAGACCACAGTTACAGGGTGTGGTCAACAAGAACAGCAGGAGCTTGCCCTCCCTGCGAGGCTCTGAGTGGCCCCGCCTGCTGCACCATCATCTCCCTTCCTAGGAGAGGAAACCAAGGCAGAGAGAGGCTAAGGAGCCTGTCGGACCTGAGACCCACCCCTGACCCGTCTGACTCAGAGCCCAAATTTTGAGAGCTATGCTACTTGGCTCCAGATATTTACCTAGTGCCTGCCACATGCTACAGCCATTACAGACAAAACCCCCGCTTTCACACAGCTTTCAGCCTAGCAACTGTACGAGAGTCCAAAGGAACTTGGGTTTTATCTGTAATGTTGGAATTATTTAAAATAAAAACAGGCTTACATACTACAAGTAAAAGGAAATCACAGAACATTTAGTGCTACCTGACTGCAAAGCTTACTTACCATCTTAACTACATGACTTCCATAATTTAAGAAAGATGATGAAACCCAGACACACAAAACCGTAGATACAGAACACAGAGACGCCAAACAAATCTCACAAAATGCATTTATTTCATATTACAGTTGAATACTAGTAATGATATATTCATTTTATGTAATATATAGTGCTTAATATTATGTGACATTCTAGTAAAGGGGCCTCTGTGAAAGGGGAATGAAGAGGAAGTAAAAAATTACGAGAGTTGCAATTTCAGTTGGGCTTTGGGAAAACGACTACTTATATTGTGAAGGTGGTCAGATTTCAGCTGCCTGAATAGTGAAAGGAATGGAAGCTGGGAAAGGAGAATGCTACAGGAAAAAAAGGAAAAGAGGGTTCCTGAAAGAGGACTCGAAGGTGGCAGCGAATGGCCTGAGAATGCTAACCCACAACGAAGTATCTGCGCGCGCACATGCGTACACACACACACACACACACACACACACACACACACACGGGAACCAGATGGGAGGTAGGGCGGGAACTGAAAGGTGAGAGGTGGATAATGCCCTCACAGTTACAAAAGGGAGACTCTTGGTTGGGGTCCAGAGAGCAATGAGAACAGCTGGGGAGCGTGACCTGGTGGTCAAAACAGCTGAGGAAGTGTCATGGTGAAGCTTTATTTGTGGGAGTAAACAAAGAGAAGTCATTCCCAGAGAGGCAGATTCCTGACTAAGCCTGAGGTGGGCAGGCTGGAAAGAAATACTCATATTAACATGAGGTTTGACCTGCAGAACTGGGCAAACTCTGAACACATACCTGGGGCAAAACCACCAGCTTTTGAAAGCATGAATTTATACAGCTCTGATGAATGGCATAGGGTACACGAGTGTTAAAATGGTCCGTGCAGTTCCAGCACCTGCTTTTATCAATCTCTAGCATCATATCAGACTACAGGAAGTAATCCGAAGAACTGTGTCCCACTTACTCATTTACATTGGGAGAAACAAGGAACTCTTGCAAAGAGAAACAACTTCCTAATGTCAAAGGAACAGTCTTCACATTTAAAATGACAGAAAAATGGCATTATTTGAAGCAGATCCAATAAACTGCATACACTGAACTTAACAGTACTTCTAGTCTTCACTGCCACACACTCGATGGTCTGCTTCTGATTTAACAACCTCTGAGAGTGGGAAACAGCCATCTGGTACAACAGGGAATGAGACAGAAACAGGTATTCACAGGGCACAGTTCCCGTACTGGAGTTCGCTAGGAAACAGATACTCACAGACTGAAGTTTCTTCTTAGCAGCTTTTGCCAATTCAGATAAATCCAGGCTGCTAAGAAAATGTACAAAGCTAATAAGGACATAAATAAAATCATTTGCATGAGCTCTGTAGAAGATAAAGACAGTCAAAGGATCAAGATATTAATTAAAGTTCATGACATGATCAGAGCCAAAAATCGATAGCCCAATAGACTCTATGAGGAAACTTTGACAACTTGGTGAAAGTAACTCCTTCTAGAAATAATCATGTAGCGTAGTTAAAAGACACATCATCACTTACTAACTAAAAGACAAAAGCTGATGTGGAAAGCCATAATTCCTGAAGTATTAACAAAACCATGACAGAATACAAAAATGGCAGAATGTGAAGAACCGGAATGGTAAGATTACATCTGGAATGGCAATTAATCATTTCATAAACTCCTGACAGTATCTGTGCAAAGATAAATTAAGGGTTCATCCCTGCAGCCTTCGATTCATCTGACCAGGGGCTGGCAGATTAGAGCCCACATTTTGTTTAGCCCAGGAGCTAATAGTGTTTACATTTTTAAATGGTTGGTTAAAAACCAAAGGGAGAATATTTCATAACTTGTGAAAGTTACATACGAATTCAAATTTCAGTGCCCAAAAATAACATTCCACTGGAACAGGCACGCCCTTCATTTACGCAGGGTCCAAGGATGCTTTCATCTACGAGGGTGGAGCTGAGCAGGTGTGACAGAGGCTGTAGAGCCCGCGATGCCTGAACTATTTACCGTCTAGCCTTCCACAACAAAAAAACTTGCCAATCCCTCTTACAGACAAAGATAGTCTTTTATGGTAAAGAATTACTCTTTGAATATAATCTATAGATAACATATACTGTCACAACCGGCTAAACTGACAATATCACTGACTCCAATTTTCTAATTAGTAAATTTGTTACTTGTGCTCTGTCAAACTTAAGTTTTATACAGTGGTTTACTTACAGCCGTCTTATTTCCAAATTGTATAGGCATAAAAGAGAAAAATGTATGGGCTTTGTTAAACACATAATATTGACACTTAAACACTACACAACCAAGGAAATACTAGTGACAGATAACACTGACTGATATTTCAGTGACCTTACCTGTCAGCCATTTGAGGTATTATAAAGTGCTGTCCATTTTTGTGATCTGAAACAGAAACCAAGCCGAAGTTTTGTTCACATAAACACTGATAAGATCTGTCAAGGAGTATCACTGTTACTCTCTCAACTTATGTGTTGCACTTAGTATCTTCCTATCATTATGAATTACGTGCGGGAACAGAGGTTGCCAGATTGGCTATAAATTCCCAAAGATCTGGCCAGTAGCAAGGATCATATATTCCCATTTCCTTCCGGTACAAAAGTCCAGACATCATTCAGCAGAAAGCCTACGGTCACCCTGATCCTTATGCTTTGTTCATCCCCAGTATAACCGATGACCTTCAGCCATGGAAAGAACACTTGGGGAGCTGAATTAGCTCACAGCAGGTTTCGGTGAGCTCTCCGTGTGGCACGGGTGGGTCTTCCTTGAGCTTTAGAGGCTCACCTTGAAATCAATCCACTAGTATAAAACACTCAGGGCTGAGGAAGGTGGTCTTGGCAGATCCAGCAGGGGCTCTGTTTCCTACAGTGCTAGTTGACTCCATCCTAATCCAGCTTCTGGAAAACACTGACCTTGTGCCAGTGAATAAAACCACTATAAGCAATCACATATAGGTTTTTCTGTGGCTCAGTTGGTTGGATGTCATTCAGCAAAGTGAAGGGTCGCTGGTTTGATTCCTGGTCAGGGCATGTGTCTGGGTTACAGGTTCAGTCCCCAGTTGGGGTGTGTACGAGCGGCAGCCAATTGATGTTTCTCTCGTCATCGATGTTTCTCTCCCTCTCTTTCACCCTCCCTTCCTTTCTCTAAAAGTAAATAAAATCTTTAAAAACAAGAGGAAAATAGTCTGTTATTTTCATCCAAGTATTGATCATTTCTGTTACTCTTCTTTCATTCCTGAAGTTCCAAGGTTCCTTCCAGTATCATTTCCCTTCCACCCAAAGAACGTGCTTTAGCATCTGTTACAGCAACTAATTCTCTTATTTTCCTTCCTCTTAAAATGTCTTTATTTTGCCTTCATTCCTGAAGGTTATTTTCACTTAAAATGGAGTTCTGGGTTGACAATTCTTTTTTTCCAGCACTTCAGAAATATGGTTTCCTTTTCATATCCATGGTTTCCGATGAGAAATCCACATTTAAATAAACATTCTTTCATATCATTTTTAAAGGTTTTTAAATTTTATTTTTAGAGAGAGGGAAGAGAGGGGAAAGAGGTCTCCCTCCCTTTCCACGTGGGAGAAATAAATCGATTGGTTGCCTTTCACACCCCCCCACTGGGGACCTAGCCCACAGCTGGTCCTGGCCCTGTGCCCTGTGCCCTGACTGGAAACTGGACCAGGTACAGTCTGGTTCACAGGCCGTCACTCAATCCACTGAGCCACACCAGCCAGGGCCTCAATTCACTCGCTCTTTTCTTTGTCATTGCTAGTCTGCAATTAAGTCTATCTGGTGAGTTTTAAAATTTCAGTTAGCTGTATTTTTCAGTTCTAATATTTCTATTTGGTTCACCTGTACATTTTCTGTTTCTCCACTGAGACTTCCTACATTTCTACTGGTTTCAAGATGTTCAGACTTTTAAGAGCTTTAAAATTTTTGTCTGATAATTCCAACAACTATGTTACCTGGGGTTGGTGCCTGATGACTACCTTTCCCCTTATAGTCTTTGGGATTTTCCTGGTTCTTCGTATGCCGAGTCATTATGAATGGTCATAATGACTGGACATTTTGCCAGTCATTATCCTGGACATTTTGAATATTATTTCCACTCAGAGTTGTGACACTCTGAGTCTTTTCTAAGTCCTATGGATGATGTTTGTTTTTTTGTTTCAGCGGTCAACTGACTAAGTTCTGCCTCCTGGGCAAAGTGGTGAGAGAAGAGAAAGAAAAATAAAGCAATCGGGATTCCCCTCATGCCCTTGGTCAGAGATTTCGGCACCTGCGCTGCCATTGCTTTGCGTAGCCACAGGACTGCCTTGGGGCCAGGGTGGGAGAAAAAGGAAGGAGGGAAAAACCCCAAAGGAATCCCCCATCTCTCCGTCCTGTAAGAGTCCTACTTCCTGCTCCTCATCAGCCAGAGAGGGCTACTTTGCATCTGTTATACAGTTCCAGGTTTTAGGTTGTCGTGGAGGCCATGTCAGAAGTAAAACAAACAGAACATTCACCACCAGCTTGATGGTACTTCGAGTTCCCTAATCTACCAGCTGGAGTCCTTAAATAGCTACTGCATGCATGTGGGCCAGGGTTTTTAATTATATTCAGGAGAGACAGGGTGGGGTGTGCTAACTGCATCACACCAGGAACTGCAACCACACCAGGGGCTCCTAACTCCAAGGACAACCGGGGGGAAGAACCACTGTACACGTGCGTGTAGATATTCTACATCAGGGGTTGGCAAACTTTTTCTGTAAAGAGCCAGATAAATATGTCAGTCTCTGTGGTTATAGGGTCTCCGTCACAACTACTCAAGCTACTTAACTCTACTGTTCTAATGCAAAAGCAGCCATACACAGTATGGAATCAGCATGGCTATCTTGCAATATAACTTTACTTAAAAAAAAATGAGTGATAGACTGGATCTGGCCCACAGGCAATGGTTTGCTGACCCTGGTTCTACCTCACAAATAAAGGACCTTTTCCCATTCCTTAGATAGAATTCTTCAAATAGCTACAAGGGATTACTTTGCTCTCCCATTCCTTGTCCCATTATTGTTGACTAGACAAGAACTGTGGTACACACTCAGTTTTGGGTCAATTATGCTCTTTGATGCTTCAGATAGCCACTACTCTAGAGCTATAAAAACTGAAGTTATAAAAACTAAAACTCAAGATGACTTGACCAGCATCTTTGACATCTAACCAAAATGCTTTAGTTATCATTTCGAATCGAAGCCCTTATTCAGTTTTCTGGGGGACATGTGGCAGCAGACGTCGTAAGTAACAGTGTCCCAGCTTGTTTCTCCAGGGACTGCCCGACTGGAGGCGTGGCGAGGCTGCTGTCCTTTCACTCACCTGGTTTCCTGCCGCAGAGATAGAAGGCCAGCCTGTCGGTCAGCTCATACTGTATTTCTACGAGGCGCTCTGCCAGCTCATGGTGCCCTCCTTGCCTACCGAGAGAAAACAAAGTACCATTTATGTTGCTCGCCAGCCACTGGCTCTAGAATAGAAAAGTACAGAGACATCTCCTGAGACACCTGAGCGATTTATCAAACGTGCCTTTTTTAGAATAATCAACCTTTTTGTGTGAGGTAAACTGTCAAGGTCTACTTTGTTTCCCACATTTATAAACTGTTTTCACAATTTGAACTATCCCCTCTCCTTTATTAAATTTACAAGACAGAATACTTAATAAGGAATTCAAGGACTTATGAGAGGGATAGTTCAAACATGAAACATTTCATCTAATAGGTAAAAGACAAAATTAATAAATGGTCTATAGAAGTCCTCAAAAATTAACTAGAGTGCTTTACAAAATATACAGATGATCAGAACCCCTCCTTGGATATTCTGAACCAGTAAAGATGAATAAGCGTGGACACCAATATTTTAAAGGTCCTTTCCTTAGATGCTTCTGATGGAGCCAGCCTGACTCTGGATGAAAGTTTAGCAACCACATGAAGTCTTCAATTCAGAGAGAAAACAACCTAATCCACCCCTGTAGCTACTCTGACCTCCTTATCTTCAATTTCCATAATAGAAAATATTAAGTTTACCTTTCTTCATTCATGAAATATATAAGCTGCTTTAAGTCCTTTTGGTTATATAGAAATTATAACATCGAGAGATCATTATATGCAAAGTACCCGTGAAAAAAAACTCCAAGGTAAGTCACAATAAATACCACTGACTGAGGGAGGGCTCTCTTCCTTCTAAAAGCTAAGGTCTAGTTTCTCAGTTTCTTTTCCTATCATCAAAGAACTACAAAGTTATCTCTAACCTATCTTTGATTTATGTGATGCACATCTTATTTTCCTCTTTTTTTAAAACATCTGTGAAATCAAGAAGTATCCTACAATTGATGGTACCTTATCATTTAATTAGCCAAGTTTTTTTTTAGTGGCATATAAAATAATGATAACCCGTACAAACAGGGGAGTATTAGATCTGAAGAAATACTGTACTTCTCAATCCCTTAGCTTTTATGTTTCCAGACACATTCTGTACTCTGCAGTCAGGTCCCCTGCTGTGGCAAGCATGCCTTACCCATTCCTCCCTCCTGAACTTGACTCATGTCTTTATTCTCACTTGGAACGCCTGAGCTCTTCCATCACACACCCAAATCTAACCTGCTCTGACCAACCAAAAGAAAGTTTTTTAATGATATGGGCCACAATGAAGAACCTATACATGCCTTTTAAGACCAGTTATCCATTTTGGCAACAAATTCCACATTATCTTGCCCATTTAACTCTTCCATGCATTTCTGAATTGCCTCCTCTAGGGAACAGTGAATTCTGGGACGGCAGTTTTGTCATCTCACCCATTTTATCCTCTGCTGAACAGAGTACGAGTGCTTTGCAGTTAATAAAGTTAATTTGGAAAAAAAGGAAAGATGATCGACCCTCTGTCATTTAAATGGTATTTAAGATTAACTTATGGACTTATTTATTCATTTTCCCAGCATTTCACAAAATTTTTAAACAAAGAAAAATGTAAAGAAAGCACAGTTGTCCACTACCTAAAAATTAGAATTAACATCTTACTGTAACTGCTTAATCATATATCTACCTACTTGCACATGTTTGTTTCTAAAGTTTAAGCAATGACTAAAAATACTTAAAAATTAAGGAATGGGTTCTGCCATTTTTAGTACTTGATTTGGACTATACAGCTCAAATAACGTAGTGTTATAAAGGATCACACAAAAGACTGGAAGCTAAGCAGACTGGTTATGATTCCACCTGCCCTGATTTTGCCAGCCTCTGAGCTCATATTCGTTTGAAAGGTCATCTGCAAAATAACTGAATGTAAATCTTTAATGGGGTTAAATGTTAATTACACACAATTTAGCAACTTAATGAATCATACACAACATATGTAATCTGAAACAGAGAGAAGGGACAAGAATCCAGGTCTCTAACCGTGCGTAATCAACAGGAGTTTTCCCACTGGAATCCTGTGTGCCCGGGTCTGCTCCGTACACTGCCAATAATTCTGCCTGCAAAATCTGTCCTGCTTTGGAGGCAACATGGAGTGGGGTATTTCCTTTTTCCTAAGAATCATTAATAAAAAGTAGACAAAAAAAGCAAATTAAATAAAGAAAAGGCTACACAAACACAACCCACTTAGTTTCAATTTAACAGGTGGATCAGTTCAAGCTTTCTTACGGGGTGAAAGAAGTTGGCTTGTGCTCCTAAAGATAACAGCCTCAAACAGGTTTCAAGGTTCCCTGTTCTCACGCTTGAATGGAGTTGCTGAAAAACACACAAACAGAAAAGAATATTGTTAAAAGTGTAAAGAGTGATGTACTGGAGCGGCTGGCAGACCATTTCAGTATATGCTGTATTAATGAATGTTAGCTCAGTAAGGCGGATGAAGCATTCTTCCTTGCTGGTCACAGCCGGCCCGGGTGCTACGGGGGGGTCAGGCCTATTTTACTGATAAGGAAACTAGGGCTTGTAAAGCTGACCTGCCCAAATGCAGGACCTAAGTGGCACGACTGTACCTTGAGTGAGAGGGAGCGTAAAGAGGTGGCTGAGCATGGCTCTGAAGTCTGACAGACCTGAATTTCAAACCATACACCCTTCAAGCGTGTGACTTTGAGGAGGTTTATTAAGCAACGTGGACCTCAATTTCCTCATCGTTAAAATGGTGATAGTAACACCGCCTATTCACAGGGTTACTATAAGGAGTCAATAACATAGCAAAGTGTTTAGCACAGAATCTGCTACGTAGGAAATACTCAAAGAATACAGCTGTTATTATAATAATAACTATTCTTACTTATTGTTGTTATTTGACCTAGGACTTTAGGGCTTCATATCCTACACTGTACAAACTTCGGGGCGCTGCCTTACACTGCATGCACCCTTTGTACAGCACTACTCTTGGCCTTGTATACAATGCTCTAAGAAAGTCTTCCAGGGTGGGAACTGGGCCTGTTGCGTACCAAATTCTGTACCACTGAAGACAAGGGCTTACACATTTACAAGTAAGTGCCTCCCTTCATGTCTAACCTCGAATTGTCAAAATGCCGTAATGTTTATCATAAAGAATAAAGACATCTACTCTAACACCTATATCTAAGCCTTATTTTTTGAATTTATTTTATTTTTTAAAAACCGTGGTAAAAAACCAGTACCATGTCTTATTAATAATGAAAGTGACAAGAAACAAAGAAATAAACATTTCTACACAAAGTTTAAAATTCTGAACTGTGAGTGCCCATGCTGTGTGCGAGCATTTGATAAAAGAAGTGCTTTGAAAATAGAGATGCATGTTTCTTGTAGCATCTCTCAAAAACAGGCAAAAGCCCAATAAAGAAAACCATCTACTCATTTTACAAGTATAATAAACCATCCCGTGTATCATAGCTTTAAGTCACACTCTGGTTTTTTTGTGTGTGTGAATTTTTTAAAATTTTATTTAGTTATTTTTCAAGTATAGTTTTTTGTCTATTTCTCCCATCCCAGCCCCCACCCACCCTGTGTTCCCCACCTCCCTCCCATTTCTACCCCCTTAGTTCTCGTCCCTGTGTCCTTCCTATTTGTTCCTCCAAATCCCTCCCCCTTTTTTCCCCTTAAATTCCCTTCCCTCTCCCCTCTGGTCACTGTCCCCTTGTTCTCTATTTCAGTGTCTTTGTTTTTATTCTGCTTGCTTGTTTGTTTTATTGTTTAGCTTCCTGTTAAAGGTGAGATCATATGGTATTTGTCTTTCAACACCTGGCCTATTTCACTCAGCATAATGCTTTCCAGTTCCATCCATGTTGTTGCAAAGGGTAGGAGCTCCTTCTTTCTCTCTGCTGCATAGAATTCCATTGTGTAAATGTACCACAATTTTTTGATCCATTCATTTACTGATGGGCACCTAGGTTGCTTCCAACTCTTGGCTATTGTAAATTGTGCTGCTATGAACATTGTGGTGCACAGGTTCTTTGAAATTGATGTTTTAGGATTCTTAGGATATAATACTAGCAGTGGAATTGCTGGGTCAAAAGGCAGGTCAATTTTTATTTTTCTGAGAAAAATTTCATACTGTTTTCCATAATGGTTGTGCCAGTCTGCAATCCCACCAACAGTGAACTAAGGTCCCCTTTTCCCCACAACCTCTCCAACATTTGTTGTTTGTTGCTTTGTTTATGATAGCCATCCTGACTGGTATAAAGTGGTATCTCATTGTGATTTTAATTTGCATCTCTCTGATAGCTAATGATATAAAAATATGGAACGCTTCACGAATTTGCATGTCATCCTTGCGCAGGGACCATGCTAATCTTCTCTGTATCGTTCCAATTTTAGTGTATATGCTGCCGAAGCGAGCACTAAGTCACACCCTGTTTCCTGAAGCTCCTACTCAGTATATTACCTAGAGACCTAAAGCAATCCCACAAACTTTCTAGTCCCTTCTAGAAACTGAGAGGGTTCCCACTTCAAAATAAGACAAATAACTTATAGAAATATAATTTTCAAACCACATCTGAAAAACACAAGTAGTTCTCTAGATACGAACTTCTCCTCTCTGCCCTTACCTCTACTGGCATGAACAGCCACCATCTGAATTAACATTAAAGACAAACACAATTGCAACAAAAAAACCTACTATTAATTATTTAGTGACCAGACAGCAGTTTTTGCTTTTTCTTTTTTCCCTTTCAACGTGTTTTCTGTCCAAACAAAACAACACACCGCTTCACCCAACAATTTCAGAGATCTAAAAAGGCGCGGCCCACCTTGCTAAGGTCTTTGGCAGTGGCACTGTCGTCATCCCGGCAGGGCAGGCGGTGGACGAATGCTAACACCTGGTACTTGGCTCTGATGAACTCCGCTTTATTGGGGCTGGTCGGGAAACAAGAAAGAAAATACTTCACTTGCAGTTCAGATATGACACTCCCCATTTTTTAGGACCCACATCCCCTACTCAAGAATAAAATGAATACTGAAGTAAGTCTGTAGCAGTGGGTAAGACCTGAAGTCTGAAAAAATGTATCAGTCACTGTAATGAGCAGGACTGCAGAATGCTTACTTTTTATAGCCGCTTTCTTCCCCTGTGCAATTTTCTTCACTGACCTAGCAACCTTGTGAGGAAGCAGCATTTCATCCTGTCTCACAGCGAGCCGTCAGGCTGCACCCAGAACCCAGATTTCTGGTCTGACAACCTCTTGTTTGAGCACCTAAGCTTAAATCTGATTACACCAACAGCCTCCAAACCTTAGTCTCAAACTGGAGAAACCACTGACATGTACTGGGTAACCACGCAAAAGAGATGGTTCCGTGCCTGGCCTTGTTCTGCATTTCTAATATCAAAGAGCTCAATGAACAATTCCTGTAAACACCTCTTGTGCTGCCCTTGTAGACGGCAGACAAAAATATCTACACTCCTTCAGTGGGCCCCCTGTGTTATGGAGAAATAGAAGTATTTATAAACATTCCACTCACTGTACTTTATCCTGTGGATTAGCTTTACGTCTTCCACTCATAATAGAGGTGGGGTCCAGCAAAGAATGCTCCCATATAGAATTAGCACCATTATTATATAAGGTTTCAACCATCTAAAACCAAACAGCATAAAAACCATATTTTAACTTCTTTAAGCAAATACTCAGTGACCAAGCTGGGAAAGCAGAGCCCCGTTACAAACACTAGCATGACTGGCACAGTGCGCACACCATTCGTTTCGGATTTAAAGCATGAAAGATGAACCTGTACTGTACGCAGAATTCAGGTTTGACCAGTAGGATAGCTACACAGCTAAATGGGTTGGATCATACTGTTCTTACAGATTATGCAGAAAGAGCAGTTTGATACTTAGGGCAGTGCTTCCCAAGACTGATTATCCAAATACTATGTGTAAGATTCTTAACAACCCATGTACCACCTAGACTATCTACTCAATATTTTCCTTTCAATCCACTCATTTTTAAAACTTGTACTAGCAGTTAGTTTGATGTGCTATTATAGTTTCCTTCTACACACTAAAATAATGCAACTGCCTAAATAAATATTGGAGTATTATCTACATCTGCTTTAAGTACCACTGGTGGTTCACGGGCCATACTTTGGGAATTGTTGACCTGAGGGTCAACCTCAGCATTTTAAACTACTCATCGGCAGACTTCATTCAGGTCCTCTAATAAAATCTGTAAACACAGACCTGAGAGCAGTAAAAAACCACCTGTGCATGAGAATAAGCTGTTAGAAACTTGTGAGTAAAAGCTATTAATAAGCCATATCTCCCAACTGCATTTCAAAGTGCGACTACTGACATGGCCCCATCTGTTTTTTACATTCATGCAGATCCTGTGACATCAGAGACCCAAACCCACTTGTCTGGTCCTTTGGTTTGCCTGAGCAAACCTGTTTGCCTGTTTGTGGAACAGGTTGTGCAGCTGCTGTAAATTTAGTAAAATATGTACTCAAGACAAAGGAAAGGGAAACATATGCTTAATTCTTAGTTCCAATAGAACTTGAGAATGTATCCCCCAAAACAGAAGTACAGATGACATGAAACTGGACTCCAAATAAAACCACACGCAACACTTAACAGTGTTAGGCAATCAATCAAAACATGTTAACTGAACCTGGTCTCTAACTAGTAATAAGATCTTGAAGAAAACTTAAATCAGATGTTGCAGAAATTTCTCAGGAATTTTAGTCCATGCTTCTATCAAACCAGGAAAAAAAATGTCCTAAATATATTAGTGGGTACTCAAGGATAAGTACACTAACAAAAAGTTTCTAAGGCTGTAGCTTTCAGAAACATTCATCATTGTATGTGGAAAACATAGACTGTTTAAAAACAATTTCTGGAGACATTCTAGCAAGTCGGCAGTGATACAGTACCAAGAAATTTTAATGACTATGTGAGGAATTTAAGACAGTCACAGCACCTCTATTCAGTGATGATTCAAGCACTATTGTACAATTTAAGGAGCAGTAGAAATTTTAGTTGCTAAAGCAGTGAGCCCTAAAAGCAAATTACAAACCATGAGAAGAATTCTTCCTTTACCTGAAGCAATGTTGGAGGCCACGGCGTGTGTTTAAGGTGCCGTACTTGAGAGATATGACGCCCTAGACTCCGATGGACACTGCAGCACTCGTCACATATAAAAGTCCCCCGATTTACTGATGCCCAGGAAGGATCTGGGAGGAAAAAAAAATCTCAGTGGCAAGGATACCAGTTGGTTGCTTCACTGCCAGATGGCAAAAGGTGACTGAGGTATGGTGTTTCAGAAAAACAAGATGTTTTTATTGTTTTAGTATGGCAATCAACTACATATCAAACTGGTGAGCTGGTCTGATGGGACCACCTTTCCTGGCTGATTGGGCACAATGTTAACTGAGCTATGAACATGAGTTGAAGCCTCACATAAGTAGCTCTCTCCTTTCTGGTTCAGGGCCACAGTCTGAAGTCCTAATGGGATCTGTTAACTCAGATACATGCTCTTCCATTCAATATAAGAAGCAAGCTGAGAGGATACAGATGCATCATTTTAGATCCATCTCCACAGATGGCAAGATAATATTACTATGATAATGAATAACCCACATAGCATTAGCTGAAGAAAATGGCAGAAAGACTGCTACAAATCTATATGCCCATCTGCTTAGCAGAAAGCTGAGAACGACAAAACTATCAAAGTGCTCAGCTGTTGCGGTTCGGAGGACTGAGAAATCTGGCCCCCTTCACTAGGGGGATGTTCCAGGTTATCTATTCATTGTTTTAAATAAACTACTGAGTCTAACCTTGAAACTGATCTGAGAGAACAAATATGTAATCACAGAAGCTTCATGGAAGCAAAGATATAATATAAGAACAACTAACACTTTTGGCATATTACTATTTTCCTGTGAAGTCCCACAGAACTTCATTGGACACCTATACCAAAAGAGGTATAATTCACACTGATAAGCGGTAAGAATAATTCACACTGGGTTAAGTAAACTGAATATTTAGAAACAAAAACAAAAACAAACAAAAAGACAGACCTACAATTCATCAGACTCACCATGCAGTGACAACAGGTGCCCCTCCAGCTGCCTGGTCTGAGGGTTATATTTAAAAACTCTCCAATGTCCACAAAAATCTCTAAAATGCATGGGCACCATCTTTAGCATTTTTAACAGTTTATTCAAACTCTTTCCAACCATGTAATGAAAAGTTATGGGATTTCAATCAAAGATGAATCCGAGGAGTCAGAGCGTGCGGTGGTTAAGGGGACTGGCTCTGGAGACGAGCAGTCGGGGGTTTGAACCCCAACTCTCCTGCTTCTCACATGACGATCTGAGCAAGTTTCTTTCTTTCTTTCTTTTTTTGTCTTTTGAGCATCCTCACCATGGATCAGGTGGGAATAACGACACATCTCAGAATAGTGAGGATATTAAAAAGTAAAGTTGTTTGCATATACTAAGTGATCAATAATGTCAACCGTTACAACTTTTCTCAATTATTTTCTAAGTACCATTCAGATATTTTCAAGAGCCTACGGAAATTCGTGACCACTGGAAAAGTTTTTGATTGTTAATACTTAAAGTGTTGAATGTTTCATGTGAACACTGTATTACTGTAGTAAAAGTCTCCGTTAAACTCAGAGTAGAATATATTTAAAATGAACTAGATTCATTGAGAAAAAGTAAAATATTTACGAAGATGTGATCATGGTTAAATGTCTGCCATGAAACAGAATAGAAACCAAATGATTCAGTACTGTTATACCATTCCAAAGAGCAAAGATTAGAAACATCAAGATGAAGGGTCCTCTTACAAAGATACATAAATTTGCTTTTTGCAGTGTGGTACCACTACTGGTGACAAGAAAAATAAGAGACTGTTTTTTAATCACAGCTTTGGTTTTCACACATCTATTCAGCAAATTCACAATATTCTTGCAGCATATTAAAGGAACAAGACAACAAGGAGTTAACACCCATTAAGCAAGGTTCTCGATTAATCATTTTTACATCATGGATCAGAATCCCGTGAAAAGAATATTAGAATGTTAACACAGCAAAATCAAGTCTGTATGAATGTCGCTGAGTGATACCCTTCCAGTGTATCTGAAGCTTAATGCCAGAGCTACTTAACCTGGGCTCCAGGAATACATAAAATAGGCTTCAGAAATGTCTGTGACCCACTGAGAAATCTTAACATAAATTCTGTATGAAAGAATAAGTGTGCATGCATTTTCTGGGGCAAAGGCCTTAGCATTCATCAAAATTTCAAAGAGACCCCTAACCATAAAGGTAACTCTTTCACTAGGGTTTTGCAAAAAAGCAGCACCAATTCCTGGCTGCTCAAGTTCGCAGAACACCTCAAGGTAGCCTAATTATATTCAAAACAGGAAGGAAGTGACTCAAGTCTCTGTAGATTTGGCACATAAGACAACCAAAATGATAAAATGGAAGAGAAAATGTTCTGAAATGCACAAAACCCTACAGGAGTGCAAGGTAGTATTTAGGGCGGCAACGGAGCCAAAGTTTTCCTTTGCCCCCATATCGTCCATTGAGAATTAAAGACTATGAGTTCCAAGAGGAAGTCTGACTCTAGACTCATGTGAATCGAACACATTCACAGACAGTTCAACTGAAAACAAGCAAGAAAATAAGGAAGTGGAACAAACAACGTTTTTTAGAGAATACAGTGGAGTTGGTATAACCTACACCAACTTGGTTTATAAAACATCTTTTTAAACTCCTCCTCCCCTTCCCTGTCTTCAAAGAAAACTGGTTAACATCACGGGCACTACTACGCAGGCCATGAAATAACCACATGAGGTTAGAAGTTATCACGGTACTGTTTAAAACCGACCTGCACTTCCACATGACAAGACGAAGCTCAGAACAGCTGCAAAAACACTGTTGCTTGAGGACTTCATTAAGATTGTTTATTGGACGCTTTTGTGCCAAGGAAGCCATCTTACCTTTGAATTACTTCCAATGCAAAGCAGATAAATCCAAGCACCGAAAACATCACAGACACCTGTCAATTCAGTTCTGACTGCTAAAGTGGACCTGAACTCTAAATCTGAAAATTATGCATGGAAGGAATGGTTCTGGCGTTTCGACGCCCCCAAATGCCTACAGTGCCTGAATGCCCCGTGACTTTGTGTTCCTTTTGTAAATTATAATTAATGTACGATTTAGAATTCACCTCTAGCTGTAAGGGGCTAGAAAAGTCCTGTACTAAAGAATACAATAGGAACAGGAAAAAGAACTTCAATGAGACGATCCTAGGACTAGTCATTGAATCTTCTTAATCACTGCTTGTGGTTACTCCTGATTATCCCCATCGGGAAAAGGAGGAAATCAAGCCTCAGACGAACGAAGTCACCAGCCCAAGGTCACCCAGAGGCAAAATCTAGTTGTAACTCAGGCCGTTCAGATGTCAAAATCTGAGATATGCACAGACTCCTACGGGCCGGGTGCGCGTGCCAGACCCCCAGTGTCCCGGAGAGCCTCTCCACCGGAGGGGTAGCCGGGATGCCCGGAGCGGGGAAATCGTCTCTGGGTCCGCTGGCCAGTCTCCGTGGAGGGAAGCGGCGACGGGCGCCCACTTCGGACAGGGTTCCCTGGAGAAGCGGCGGGGCTCTGGCTTGGCGGGGGTGCCGGGGGCAGAGGAGGTGACACCTGCACCTCTGGGGACCGCAGCTGGGAAGACGCTCGCATTTTACTTCTGTAATTGGCCTTCCTGTGCATTGCCCAAGCCCCTTCCTGTACAAGAAGTGGCCCCAGCCCCGACACCGCCCCCTTTCCGCAAGGCCTGGGACAGAAGGGACGAGAGGGACCAGAGGAAAGGGAGGGCGGCGGCCCCCTGCTCGCCCGGCTCTGACAGGCCCGGGACGGCTCCCGCCCCAAGGCTGTCAGCGTTCCTTCGAGTCGCGACCCCGGCCATGGAGTGTGGGGCTCGGCCGCCGGGAGCCGCCTGACCCGTGGGGGTGGCCCCGGGGCAGGGGTCCCAGTCGGGAGTGCAGAGGGGAGCGGGCCCGGCCGGTGGGACTCACCCGGCACGCTGCAGTCAGCGCACACGTCGCTGCTCCGGAGCCGCTTCGACATGGCTCCCGCCTCCTACCTGCCGGGCACCTGAGGCCCCGGGACAGCAAAGGCGGTGGCGGCGGCTGTAGCGCTTCCGCTCTAACGGGTCCCCACCGCAGCGCTGGCGGCGGCTGCGCCTCTCCCCTCAGCGCCTCGCAGCCGCGGCGCAACACGCACGCGTGGGGAGGGGCGCTTTGGCGTGGAGCAGTCATGTGACCGGAAAGGGCACGCTGCCTAGTCGCCATCTTGAGTGAGGGCAGCTAGCGTCTTGTGTCCTAATTATAAATCTTCAATTTGGGTCTCCTTTCCTGGAAGAGAGTCACTTAGTCCCAGCACTGATTAACACTAAAGAAAGCAGCAAAATCTCGTGACCAGAACTCTGTACCCACAATGTTACTGAGACAGACGATAGTCAAGTCACTAGTTTAACTTTGGCCAAGTTCATTTATTCTTTACTTTATTCAACATATTTACACTGAGCACCTACTGTGTTCCACACACTGTTCCAGGCAGTGAAGAAACAACAATGAGCAAAGACGACAAACTATTGTATCCTTATGAATCTTACGTTCTACTGCAGTAGACCTCCAATAAAATAAAAATTGGTTAGCTGTTTCTTTAGGTTGCAGTGTTAGTCTCATCTGCAAACTGGAAATAATATATTATTTACCTCTAAACCTCAATTTGCTTTTTTCTTTTAAAGATTTTATTTATTTACCTTTAGAGGGAAAGGGAAGGAGATAGGGAGAGAAATATCAATGTGTGGTTGCTTCTCCTGTGTCCCCTGCTGGGAACTGGCCTGCAACCCACGCATGTGCCCAGACTGGGAATCGAACTGCGGTTGTTTGGTTCGCAGTCTGGCGCTCAATTCACTGAACTACACGTGTACAGCCAGGGCCTCGATTTGCTTTTGTATGGCCTGCTACTTAAGAATGAGTTTTATAATTTTAAAATATGGAAAAGAAAAAGAGGAAGAAGAATGTTCAACAAACTGCATATGTGACCTGCACAACTATGTAGTATTTAGCAAAGAAGAAATGGAATAATTCACAGAAAAGTGCTGTGTGCCTGCCCCATAGTAGGCCTCAACAATAGTAGCTCCTATTATTATTATTGGTATTTGGTATTACTATTATTTTCTAATCACAGTTTGTTCATTTGGTTTTTTTGAGAATAAGGATAACAGAGTAATTTGTAGGATACTGTGAGGTAAACACAATGAGATGAATTTAATCAGTGTGAAGGAGAGAAGTGGCCCTGATGCTAATGAATATTTATTGTGTTATATGTGTCAGTTGAGCACAAAGGAGGCAGGAAGCTTTGACTGCAAATAAATGACAAAGATTTATTCAAGGGTCTTAAGTTCTTCATTCCTTCCTAAGTCCTTCAGAGGATTATCTACAGGAATTTCTATCTATAGGCATTGGGGCATAACTGAAAAGTTCAAAATTTTAAGGCCTCAAGCTCAAGCTTGTTAAAATATTCTATTCCTCATGCTTCAGCCCATTTGGTCTGGACCAGTTCTGTCAACTTAACTATACAGACTCCATTTTAAGTCAGACTAGTTTTACCCACGCGACCTTGTTGTCTTCACTCATTCCTCGTGTCCAAACACAACTATGAGCTCCATTCAGCAAGTATATGGACGCCTCTTATGGACCAGGTATGGTTTTGACTTTAGGTACTCTGGCAAGCAGCCATTGTGATGTTTTCCAACTAATAAATAAAAGAGATGTTCAATAAATGTGGGTTAAAGAAGAGAAAGAAGATTAAGTGTCACAGGTTTTCTGAAAGGATAGGACGTCCTGGAAGAGGTCTCAGAAGCTCTGGCCTTTGGTCCATCTTTCCATTTTGATAAACGTGTGGTGTGGGTATAACCACACCATTCCCAACAGTTCACAGTTACAGCCTCCCTGGGTACTATCCTGCTGCTCCTGCTTCCTGTTCTGGATGGTGGACTCAACACACGTAGAGAATGGATTCGGCCAGGATTCTTGAACAGCTGTTGTTGCAGGCAGCTGAAAAGCTGAATGTGCACAAGCAGAGAAGGCAGAGGGTAAGCTTTCTGGATGCATTAAATAACTTCACCCAGTTACGTGGTCTAGTTGTAGACAGCTGCGCAGAAAGCTCAGGCTGGTGAGTAGCTGTAAATTGACTTGGTTCCCCATTGAATCAAGGAGCTATAGTGTCATGGGTTGAAAATCAAAGAATGAACTTAATATATGAAGACTGTGGTCAAGTCTGGGTACTATCTATTAGTTCTTCTCCATAACCCAAAATTCAAACAGCTAGCTTCACAAAGAAATGACACTCGTATGTGGAATAAACCACCACCATAGTTAACTGAATCATAAGCTAGTTTGGAGTTTAGATAGAACAGTGGTTTTCAACTGGAGCGATTTCCCTCCTCCAGGGGACAATTGGCAATGACTGGAGATTTTTCTGGGGAGTGCTACTGGCGTCCAGTGGGTAGAAAGGCCAGAGATGCTGTTCAATATCCTACCAAGCACAGGACAACCCCCACAGAAATATTTTCTGGTTCAAAAATGCCCATTCCTTGAGAAACCATGAGCTAGAACTAACTCTGTATGATGTAAATATTTAATGCCACTTTCCCAGGGTTTATAGTTCCCTCTTCAAAACTGTATGATGTTGCCCACTTCTAAAGTGGTTTCTGACCAGTCACGGAAGAATCTGCCCACGTCCAAAAAGGCTGCAAGGGAGTCAGGAGCTGGAATGGTTTGGCCCAGGCCCTGTTGTCACCCCCTGACCGCAAAGTCGTTGGAAGTAGCCCAGTTGTGGACTGAACCATATGAGGTGGCTGGAGAAGGGGAAAGGGGCTGGAGAAAGGGAAAAGGGTTGGAGATGGGTAGATTGAGTTTGCGTGTCCAGATCCTGGACTAAGAAAGAGAATTTTTTATATTTTTTGGGGTTATACTATGTCTGCTGCTGTGGAGTTGGAGGTGGGAGGAACTGGGTGAACCAGTCGCCGGGTGGCTCGTCTCGCCTCCCCCCCCGCCGTGGAGTGCGATGGTTCGCTCCCAGCACTTCCCCGTTTGGGGCAGTTCGGTCCCCAGAAGTCGGTTCGCGAGCTGTCAGCGCGGGCGGCAACGCAGCTGGGCGCGGGGTGGGCGCGGTCGATCGGGTCCCCGACCCGACCCCCCCGACCTCCCGCGCTCCCCAAACCTCACCCACTAGGCCGCTGGGCTGCGTACCGCGCCCCTCACTGGCTCGCCTCTTTCTCTCTCGCTCCCCCTCCGGCCGCCGGGCGGGCTCCGGAGACCCCGCGGGGGCTGAGGCTTGAACAGCGGGCGGCGAGGGCCCGGCAGCGGCCTCCTCGCCATGTCCTCGGCCGGCGACATCAGCGCCCACTTCCCTTTGCACCTCCTAGTCTGGAACAACGATTACCGGCAGCTGGAGAAGGAGCTGCGGGGCCAGGTGAGGGGCGGGGCGTGGGTCCGCCCCCAGTGAGGGAAGGAGGGGGAAATCCGAGGTTCTGGAGCCCCCCGGAGTGCCTCTCCAGACCTCTACGGTCGGGGCTACGCAGACCCCTACAGTTCTTCAGTCGTGGGACAGTAATCATAACAGGACAGGGCTGAGCTTTTGCCGTGTGCCAGGCCCTATGCCGAGAGCTTTATTACATTAAATCTTTGACTTTGCAACAGTCCTAGGAAGTAGGTACTATTATGATTACGTTCGACGAAAAGGGAAACAGGCGCCCAGAGAGTATGTGCCTTGTGCATGGTCGCCCGCCTATTAAATACCAAGTCGGGGTTTTAACCGGCCGGCTTGTTCCAGAGCGCACGGTTTTAACCAGTTAGGATCCACTCCCTATCCCAAAGAGAGAAGAACAATACACACCCCCTCACCCCACCCACCCTTTTTGTAAGGAAGGGCTTGGTTGGGTTTGCAGTCCAGGTTGTAACTCGCCCTGTGAACTCTGTGAACTTTGGCGAGGCATTTTTTCCTCTCCGGCCCAGGGAGACACGGATGCATCCCAAAGTTTGAGAATCACTGGTGCCCTGGATCCTTAAAGTCCTTATTGTTCTGAGGTACAATGATTTCTTGTCTTTTATTTATTGCCATCCTTCTAAAGCAGTGGTTCTCAGTCGGAGGTGATTTTGACACCCGCCCCCGACCCGAAATGTAAACATTTTTGGTGGTTACAAGTGGGGCGTGGGTGCTTACTGGGATCTAGTGGGAGAGGCCAGGGGTGCTGTTCAGCATCCTACACAAGTGCACAAGATAGCTCTCCACAACCAAGAATTATGTGGCCCAAAATGTCAGTAGTGTTTTGCGGGAGAAGCCCTGCTTTAAAGACATCTCAACAATTCTGAGAGTTATTGGTGCCTCCAGATTACAAACTAATGAGCTTAGCAGCTAGAATAAGGATTTATAGTTATTTGATATAATTGTTCACGTTGACTTCATGCCCTGGTTTTTTAAGACATCAAAATCTACACTGCAGTTGTCAAGGAAATTTAGATGAAAGGGCCATTGGTTGTCGTTTGGTTGGTGAAAATTGAACGAAGTCAGCATCACCTTGTTTGATGAACAGTTGCTGCTAAGCCTGTTCTTGTGCCCTGCTGTATTTCTTTTAAATCTGCTGAACACCCACTGAAAGTCAAAAATCACTCTTTTTTTTTCCATTTAAATTCTCCATCCAAGGAGAGTAAAGTTTTATTGTAGTCCCAAGTCTTCATGACATCAGGCCTAGGGGGTGAATAATTCACCATTAGGCATCCTGGTATACCTGATGGGTTCATTCCATTTCTGTTACTGAGGGAGTCCTCCCTCCTTTTGCTCTTAACTCTGAATCTCACCTTGGACCCTTTAAACATGGCTGAACAGTTCTGGTTTTTAGGTCCGCTGCACTGTACATCTGCACTTCCCCAGTATTGGGGCTGTCCAGCCTCTTGTGAAAGAGCGAGATAAACTACAAAGTCTCTGAACTCACATCTGATTTGATAGAGCATTTCATCATCATCATTAAGCCGCACTCTTTCAATACTGACTTCCGAAAACAGCCCACTTTCTAGCCATTGGAGGTGAGGAAGAGAGTTTAAATAAACTGCGGTTTGTACCGGTATGAAAACTTGTTGGATATGAACAAAGTCTTGGTCTATAATCTAAAAATGTGACACAGCTGAATTTC